CAGAGAGTAAAAATCAATGACTGTTTTTCTGATGTTGTTTCTGTGAGCACTGGTTCTCCTCAGGGATGTATTTTGAGTCCTTTGCTTTTTACTTTGTACACTCACGATTGTGTGTCCTCCTCTGACTCAAACATGATCATTAAATATGCTGATGACACCACCATCATCGGTCTCATCAGTGACAATGATGAATCCTCTTATAGAGCAGAGATCGAACATGTTTTTCAGTGGAGTAAAGTAAACAATCTCCAGCTGAACACTGCAAAAACATGTGAACTTGTCTTTGACTTCAGTCGTAGCAGTTCTCACACTCCTGTAGTTATTGACAACTCCCAGGTGCAGATCGTAGAGGAGTGCAAGTTCCTGGGTTTAACTCTTTCTAACGACCTGAAATGGGACAAAAATACTAACCGGGTTGTTAAGAAAGCACGTCAGCGGCTCTTCTTTTTGCGGAAACTTAGAGTATTTACCACTAACTCTAAGATTCTGCTTAACTTTTATCGCTGCACCACTGAGAGTTTACTTATTGGTTCTGTGTCTGTGTGGTTTGGAAACATCACAGATAAAGAAAAGAGAGCTTTAAACAAGGTGCTCCGCTCTGCAAAGAGGACCGTGGGCTGTGAGCTTCCTGTTCTGGAGGTTCTTTATAAATCCAGACTTTTAAACAGAGCTCTTAGGATTGTTAATGACTCTTCTGGCCACCCTGGGAAAGCCATGTTCCAGCTTCTTCCCTCTGGCAGAAGATATCGGTCGCTGAGATGCAAGACATCTCGCTATGCTAACAGCTTCTTTCCACAAGCTGTTAGGTGCCTAAACAGAGCACTTTAATTCCTGCTTTTACCCCTTGTATCGTTTTGTTGATCGGTGCCACAGTGTCAGCTGTTTTTTTTATTCTTTTATATTCAGTGTATGTGTATTTTATATTACATTGTATCGTGTTCTTTATTCTGTCGGTGCACACAGAGTACCTTTCTTTGCAAATGTATTCCAATGTAGTTTGTATACTGCACATGGCTAATAAAATGAATCTGAATCTGAATCTGAACTCCAAACAGAAAGGCCCGGAGGTTGTCTCGAACCCAGGACCTTCTTACCGCTGCGTCACCGTGCCGCTCACCCGTCTCCACATGGACTTGGAGGCCACCCATGGAAACAGTAGTGGAAATCTTTATTTTTTGGATGTTTGGACAAATACTTTATATACAGAAATGAGTAAAACATAAAATTAGATCATGGTTAGACCTTTGGCAACAGTTTTGAGTGCTGAGCAATGCAACATTGTATCAAGAGATTCCCCCATAGACCAAAGTGTTCACGAAAACGGCTCACCCTCAGCTGACAGGGAACTGCAGCTTTCACAGAGGAGGGGTTTGTGGGGATTCATCATGAACTTCTTTATCTTTGAAATCCATGGATCTTCTATAAATCCACACGCTCACATGCCGCCCTATTATTCATATGTCTGGATGTCCTTTCTCCTGGCCAACATCATGTACAGTAAATGTTTTTGAACATTGTCACCACCACCACACCTTATTAGACCATAGTTGATAGAGACCAGCGAGAGAGACTATAGTGACCAGAGAGAGACCAGACCAGAAAGGGAAGTTGTTGTGATGTCACATGAACTCAAGCTAGTTGTCCAATTACTTTCATTCATTAGTATTCTGCAATTATTCATATTTTGGACCCACATTGAGATCTGGGTCTCCAATTCATGTGTTTGAGAAGCTCCTTCACTTTGTCTGTGAAACCTGCAGCTGGAGGAATGTCAACAGACCAGACCCACCTGTACATACACAAATACACAGAGACACACACACGTACGCACACAGCACACACACTGACACACACACACACACACACACACACATGCACAGAGAGACCCATACAAGTTCTTTATCCTCTCTGGTCTCTTTCTGGTCTGAGCTCTCTCTGGTCTTTCTGGGCTTGCTCTGCTCTGGTCTCCATCTGGTCTGATCTCTCTGGTCTTTCTCTGAAAACTTGTCTAATGGTAAAGCAGCAAAAAGCCTCCAGTTCCTGCAAATTCCAGGGCTGCCTTGCATATAAACTGCACTTATAATAGAAAACATATGACTCAGAATATATTGCTTCACACAACCACTGACGATGAATGTGGATGAGAAAAGTATAGTGTAATTTCATTCATAACTTCCAGATATGGCCGAAACATTTACAAGTGTATGTGCCTTGTTCCACTCTGTGTCATGTCTTCATAACCTCCCATTTCTCCTGCTCTGGGCGCGGATCCCTGCCATAGGAAAGAATGCACTCCCGCCTCATCACCTCACCCCTTTTCTATCCTCTTTCTTCTGTTGACACTGCGGACGAAAAGAGAGAGAGAGAGAGCACAGAGAAAGAGAGAGACTAGAGAGAGAAGAGAGAGAGTAGAGAGAGATTAAAGAGACCAGAAAGAGAGTAGGGAGAGCAGAGGGAGGTTGGGGAGACCAGAAAGAGAGCAGAGAGAGAGAGAGACCAGAGAAAGAACAGAGTAAGCCTATATAGATCAGAGAAAGAGACCAGAGAGAGACCAGAGAGAGACCAGAAAGAGACCAAAGAAAGACTAGAGAGAGAGAGCAGAGAGAGACCAAAGAGGGAGTGCAGAAAGAGAAAGACTAGAAACTAGAATAAGACCAAAGAGAGACCAACAAAAGATCAGAGAGATGAGAGAGCAGGGAGAGAAAGAGCAGAGAGAGAGAGAAGAGACCAGAGAGAGAGACCAAAGCAAGACTAGAGAGAGAGCGAGAGACCAAAGAGGGAGAGCAGAAAGATAACTGAGAAAGACTAGAAACCAGAGTAAGACCCAAGGGCGTAGGTTTGCGTGGGGACCATGGGGACATGTCCCCACCAATATTTGGTGAGGACTAAAAAGTCCCCACCAAAATGACATGATGTCCCGTGACCCGGACGGTCCGGGACACATGTCTTCCGTTTGTGCATACGTCGCGCCTCCTCCTCGCCTCCAGAGCAACAGCAGCAGCAGCAGCACGTGACCCGTTCCCTTCTCTGCAGGGATTGGCTGTCTTCTTCAGCGCCAAACTGAAGCACTGAGCGGCTGTTTAATTTTTAAAAGTTAGCCAGCGTGAAGCAAGTGGTTTTTTCGTTCCCTGAGCGTTGTAGCACGTGAGTAATCAGAGGAAAGTACTGTAGATCTATTACCATTCAAAGTACTTACGTTATTTCTAATCTGTCAGCGCACTGTTTAATGTTCCGAGGAACTCACACGGCACAGAGACAGAACAGAACTGGCTCCAATAAAGAAACAGGTTGGTTGAAAGGCTGAAAAAATACTTATTGTGCTCTTACTATCCAAAATGTATAAGTGGGTGTGTTGTGTGAATCAGGATAAACTAGGGATGAAAATATTCCACGGATCCACGATTTACAACCTTTATCTGCTGATAATGTAATTTCTGTGAAATGTGTGACAGCGGGCACTTGCTGTTATTTGCTCTAAGCACATTCAAGCGATGCACTCGAATGTGCACGTCCTGGTGCAGCTGCTGCCGCTTTGTAATGACAGCCGCGGCGCTCAGTGAAAGCACAGCTCTAACATGGTACCGAGCTCGGACCATATGCAGACAGAACCATGTCTCCCTCGTATCTCCCGCGTTTCTCCCCTGTGTCTCTGACATGTCTCTCCCCTGACTCTTCCCAAAGCGCAACCAGCGCTCCCGAAATTAAAGCTCGGATACCTAAATTTTCCATTGCGTTAACGATGCATGCTGGTTGTGCGCAAAACACACCACAACAGGTCATTTAAGTTTTTATTTTGCATACTTGAGAACCCTGTGAGTCATTACTTGCCTTTTTGGGTTGAGAGTGGAATAAAAAAAAAGAAAATATAGAAAAATCCACACTGTTACTTATTGCCAAACTCTTGTTAACTCATTGTATTGAGAAATACTATGTAACTTTTGACATTGGCAAAGTTATATAAATGATTCTGCAGTTCATGTATATGAATGTCTGTTTTTGATTGTCTATACCTTCTTATATAATTTAGAAAAAATGCCACCTCCACAAATAAGATAAAAGATATCAGGAGCTTTTTTTAACAGTTGGAAAGTAAGTAAGAGAAAGCACAAGTAATAGCAAATTATGAATTGTGATGATTAATCTTCTGTTAACATACATAACTGCTTCTCATTCAGTCTACAGCTGAGTTTAGTATAGAAGGCAACACACTATTGCAAATATAGTGTGTGATTACACAACAAATTCTGGGGGAGAAACTCTGGACCCCGTGTCAATGGGTGTAGACTCAGGTCGTAGTGAATGTCCCCACCAAGATTGGAACCAAACCTACACCATTGGTAAGACCATAGAGAGACCAAAGAAAGATCAGAGAGACGAGAGAGCAGGGAGAGAAGGAGCAGAGAGAGAGAGGGTAGAGGGACCAGAGAGAGACCAAAACAAGACTAGAGAGAGAGACCAGAGAGAGACCAGAGAGAGACCAAAGCATGACCAGAGAGCAGAGAGAGGACCAAAGAGGGAGAGCAGAGAGAGAGACACACATCAGAGAGAGACCAAAGCAAGACTAGAGAGAGACAGAGCATGCAGAGAGAGACCAAAGAGGGAGAGCAGAGAGAGAGAGAGAGAGAGATAGAGCAGCGAGAGACCACAGAGAGAACAGAAAGAGACCAGAGAGAGACCAGAGAGGATAGAACCTCATCCATAACTCCCACACAGACCCCCCCCCCCTCCCCTTCCACCTCTTGTACACACACGCGCACCTTTCCACGCGCCCTGTTGACGCCCACATGTTCCACGCGTCCTCGTCTCTGTCCAAACACACTCATCAGCCTTGAACTGCGCTCAACATCACTCCCGCTCCCAATGCCAGTCCTCTCTCCAAACTCACAGAGCGCGCACATACGTTTGTCCTCTTCCTGATTGGAAATAATTGCTCTTGTACGCCGCCCACTTTCTCTGGATCCAGTCTCATCCAAGGCACCAGAGCAGAGCGCACGTACAGCATGACAGGAGGACTGAAGGATTCTGAACCAGAGGTATAATATAAACTATCTTTTTCTCTCGCTTTGGCACACGTACGAGGAATGTGAGGGCCCATTCAGAGCGCATTAGAGGCTTGCTGTGAACTTGCTAAAGAGAAAGAGAGAGAGAGATACAAACACTTTCTTTTAGCCTTTTTTAACGAGAGGTTTCGTGCGTAAAATAAAAATGTTATATCCACTTCAGGCACTTTGGTTTATTGCTGCGATTGTGGCTGGGTTTTTTTCGTTTTAAAGAGACAGCAACGCGTTTTCCATGCCCATATTAGACCAGGGAAATACCAGAGAGATAGACCAGAGAGAGAGAGACCAGAGAGAGGCCAGAGTGAGACCAGAGTGAGACCACAAAGAGACCAGAGAGAGGCCAGAGAGAAACCAAAAAGTCCAGAGAATTATTTAAGAGACCATAGGGAGACCAGAGAGAGATCGTGAGAGAGATTAGAGAGAGACCAGAGAGAGATAAGACAGACCAGAGAGAGAGAGACCAGACCAGAGACCATGAGAATAAAGACCCTCATCCCCAACTACCCAAATGTAAATCCAGTTGCATGGTTAGCGGTTATCTTTTGTGTAAAAAGTGTTATTCTGTTTTAGACTGTTTTAGGAGCGAGAAACTAGTGACGTGGATGTTATATCTAAACTTTGAACATTGTAATGCGTTTTTGGTGACCTTGGTCTATTAAAAAAAAATGCGTTATAAATAAAGATTACGTACTTACTTATTACAGTCTTCTGTGGTTTTAAAGTTACGTATCCCAGCTTTAACTCATATACATATTGAAGGATTTTTTTGTGTGGTAATTTCCAAGAGGCAATTGCTCTATTGATCTCAAAGCATTGTCACACGCCCACTGGTCCTTACTCAGTTAATTTGTGGGTGGTTTTCTTGAGTTCAATTTGGCAACATTATGCAGGCATTTTGGCACATATGAAACGACAAATAGTCTGTTTGTGAGACAAATATACTTTTTTATGATTTAAAATAACTACAATTAAATAAAGTTTGAGAACAGGACAGAGAGAGGAAGAAACCAGAGATAGACCAGAGATAAAAAAAAGAAAGAAAAAACAGAGAGATACCAGAGAGAGTTCAGAGAGAGACCAGAATAAAAGAATAGAGAGAGACCAGAATGAGACCAGAGGGAATTGAATTCTCATCCACATGAGCAATATGACAACTTCCCAACCATTTTTTTTCACAAGGACAACTTTATAAAGGAAAGAGCAGTGCGTGCAACAGCTCAGACTCTGACGTTGAGAGCTTCACTCACTCAAACACGGCTCTACGGCTCGTTACGCTGTCATTAAGCAAAGTATAGCCCCTGGTGTGACTTGTGTGTAGTTTTAAAGACTTTTCCACTGACCCACATGTTAGTAACAGCCCAGAAAACAGAGGTTATGTCTCCTTTAAGCCTCCGAAAGTAAATATCGCTCACATGTTGTAAGTTTTTCCCACTTTGCCGTGTTGTTGGGGCTTGTCTCAGACTCGCAGACTCTCTTGGGACAGTTCCAGTTTTAGCTCATGGAAAACCTGAGCTTTCCAGTGCTCACATAGCCCTCCATTCATTTGCTTATATGGTTAATAGAATTAGTTCAGATGCAAAACATAGGGACGTGCACAGGCAAATGTGAGGGCAGCAGACCCAAATCAACGTACACCTGTGGATCATTGTTTTATATGAAGTATGTGTTAGAAAGTACAAGAAATATTATGCAGTTGGCCTGTCAAACGATAATAAAACTGTTTACTTGGTCATTTCATGTTTTAGAATGTGAAATGATATCTTCAGCAGAAAATATATGAATTTATGTCTGCTGTACATGAAATTTGATTATGATTTTGCGCTTAGACCCTGCCAGAGCACTGTGATGAATGCAGAAGGGGAAATTCAAATATTGAACATATAGGGCCTGGACCCTGGTAGTGGGAGCTAAGAGCTGATCTGGCTGATCAGGTGGTGATGGGGAGGAGGAGGGTTGCTGCATGAATGAAAGCTTTCTGTTCGATATGAAAGGTTGATGCAGCTCTGGTCCCTCTCTGGTCTCTCTTTCTAGTCTGTCTCCCTCTCCCTTGTCCCCCTCTCTAGTCTTTCTCGGGTTTCTCTCTCTGGTCTCTCTCTCTGGTCTCTCTCTCTGCTCTTTCTCTAGTGTATCTCTGGTCTCTGTCTGTCTTGCATGAACTGTTTGAAAACTGAAAACATTCCTAAAACAAACCGAAAATATTTGTATTTCATTAATCTCCAAAATATCACCAAAGCAATGTAGATTCTCCTGACTTTCCTCTGGGAGACTGGAGATATTGTTGGTATAGGTTTGAAACTCTCTGGTTTATGGTCATGTCTATATATGTTTCGCTTCCTGGTATGGTCTCTGGTCAGGATCCTGCTCTGGTCTCTGTTCTGGTTGCAGTCTTGTATTGTTGATATTGCCTTTACTGTCTTCTGGGTGACTGGAGTTCTTGGTGGAACCCTGGTTTGGAGCTCTCTGGTCTCTGTTCTGGTCTCTTGTCTGGTCTCTAGTTACTGGTCTCTAGTGTCTGGTCTGGTCTCTGGTCCTGTTTCTGGTCTGTCTCCTTTTCCGGTTTCTGGCCTGGTTACGGTCTGGTATCGTGAATCTCGTCTTCAACCTGGGAGATAATTTGGTGGGACCCTGGTCAGGGGCTCTATGGTCTCTGGTCTGGTATTTGGTCTGGCCTCGGGTCTCTGATCTGGTCTCTGGCCTGGTCTCTGAAAGAAGAATTGGCTCAAACTATGGCATCTGTGGCTGGGTGAGTGCACCTGCAGACCTGAGAACGTTCCTCATCAAGGGTTAAATCAGCAAAATATTCTGCGCGGAGTTCTTTTCCTCAGGCAGGTATCGCGGATGATGTCATGCATTCTTCCCGGTTGCCCAGTTTCCGACACCAATTTAGAAGACAGTACGAGCGGAGCCGCATTCTTGCAGTTTTAAAATGCAAACACGAGCATTTAAAGGTGATTAATGAGGCTGTGAATCTGCAGAGGGACAGAGGCATAAAGAGGAGCCATGGAGACGAGCAGAGACAGGGAAGACCGCTGCTGCTGAGGCTGACAGAGGCTGACTGAGGCTGACAGAGGCTGACTGAGGCTGACTGAGGCTGACTGAGGCTGACAGAGGCTGACAGAGGCTGACTGAGGCTGACTGAGGCTGACTGAGGCTGACAGAGGCTGACTGAGGCTGACTGAGGCTGACAGAGGCTGACTGAGGCTGACTGAGGCTGACAGAGGCTGACTGAGGCTGACAGAGGCTGACTGAGGCTGACTGAGGCTGACAGAGGCTGACAGAGGCTGACTGAGGCTGACTGAGGCTGACAGAGGCTGACTGAGGCTGACTGAGGCTGACAGAGGCTGACTGAGGCTGACTGAGGCTGACAGAGGCTGACTGAGGCTGACAGAGGCTGACTGAGGCTGACTGAGGCTGACAGAGGCTGACAGAGGCTGACTGAGGCTGACTGAGGCTGACTGAGGCTGACAGAGACTGACAGAGGCTGACAGAGGCTGACAGAGGCTGGCTGAGGCTGACAGAGACTGACAGAGGCTGACAGAGGCTGACTGAGGCTGACTGAGGCTGACTGAGGCTGACTGAGGCTGACTGAGGCTGACAGAGGCTGACTGAGGCTGACTGAGGCTGACTGAGGCTGACAGAGGCTGACTGAGGCTGACTGAGGCTGACAGAGGCTGACTGAGGCTGACAGAGGCTGACAGAGGCTGACAGAGGCTGACAGAGGCTGACAGAGGCTGACTGAGGCTGACTGAGGCTGACTGAGGCTGACAGAGGCTGACTGAGGCTGACTGAGGCTGACAGAGGCTGACTGAGGCTGACAGAGGCTGACTGAGGCTGACTGAGGCTGACAGAGGCTGACAGAGGCTGACTGAGGCTGACTGAGGCTGACTGAGGCTGACAGAGGCTGCCAGAGGCTGACTGAGGCTGACAGAGGCTGACAGAGGCTGACAGAGGCTGACAGAGGCTGACAGAGGCTGACTGAGGCTGACTGAGGCTGACTGAGGCTGACAGAGGCTGACTGAGGCTGACTGAGGCTGACAGAGGCTGACTGAGGCTGACTGAGGCTGACTGAGGCTGACTGAGGCTGACAGAGGCTGACTGAGGCTGACTGAGGCTGACAGAGGCTGACTGAGGCTGACTGAGGCTGACAGAGGCTGACTGAGGCTGACTGAGGCTGACAGAGGCTGACAGAGGCTGACTGAGGCTGACTGAGGCTGACTGAGGCTGACAGAGACTGACAGAGGCTGACAGAGGCTGACAGAGGCTGGCTGAGGCTGACAGAGACTGACAGAGGCTGACAGAGGCTGACTGAGGCTGACTGAGGCTGACTGAGGCTGACAGAGACTGACAGAGGCTGACAGAGGCTGACAGAGGCTGACAGAGGCTGACTGAGGCTGACTGAGGCTGACAGAGGCTGACTGAGGCTGACTGAGGCTGACTGAGGCTGACTGAGGCTGACAGAGGCTGACAGAGGCTGACTGAGGCTGACAGAGGCTGACTGAGGCTGACAGAGGCTGACTGAGGCTGACTGAGGCTGACAGAGACTGACAGAGGCTGACAGAGGCTGACAGAGACTGACAGAGACTGACAGAGGCTGACAGAGGCTGACAGAGACTGACTGAGGCTGACAGAGACTGACTGAGGCTGACTGAGGCTGACAGAGACTGACTGAGGCTGACAGAGACTGACAGAGGCTGACAGATGCTGACAGAGACTGACAGAGGCTGACAGAGGCTGACAGAGGCTGACAGAGGCTGACAGAGACTGACAGAGGTTGACAGAGGCTGACAGAGGCTGACAGAGGCTGACAGAGGCTGACTGAGGCTGACTGAGGCTGACAGAGGCTGACTGAGAGGTCCCACTCTGCAGGCAGAAGTCTCTCAAAGCCTGATCAAAACATATAGTATTACCCCGTCCTATTATCTTGTCCCTGGTCATCAAAGGATTTTTATTTGCTGTCTAGAGTGCCTCGGATTTCCTCCTTTCTCCAATGTTACCCGTTTTATTCACTGTTGATCCTGATGAGCTCCCAAGGATAGACTACTTATTTTTCCCAAAGGATAATGTTTTGGACATCAATGTGCTCTTGACCGGATAAAAACACATCTATAGAACTTTTGACAGAAAATACATCACAACGCACAACCGTATTATTCAGATTATATACCGCTCCGGAGTATAAAGAATAGATAAAGTCAAAAACTGCGATTTTAATCCGAAAAATACGGTACATACTTTTGTGGAAAATAAATGCCAAACCACTACAAATCTTGGACTGGGCAAATACCAACCTGATGTAAACCAGGACCTAGCAACGGCAGAGTATTTTGGTCCCTTTAGGAGCGACATCTGTCTGTCCCCTCTCGCGCTACTCATTAGCTGAAGCAAAATTTGGGGACTGAAGGGGCCTGATTGGTCAGTCGTTAGAGCTCATGTCTGGATTTACAAAGACAATATCCCAATATAAACATACAAAGATATAGAGCGCTAAACCAGGGATTTTTTAAGCCCAAAATGGTGAGTGTGACACGAACAGTTACTGAGCTAGAGGAGTGCCTAAGTCACTGGCACTAGAGCGAGTTGGAGCCAAACTTTGTCCAGGAGCACTTCCCTATTGGGCTTTGGGAAAAGCTACCCTGATGAATGCGAGTGTAGCGTTTTCCTTTTTCAAAGAGCAAAACACCATCACTCCTTTAGCTGATCACTACAAACACCTGGAGAAAGGAGAAGCAAAAACAATTACAACACGATTGAAACTCCATCCGGCTTAGTCAGTTCCCGTCAGAGATTCTTGCCTTTGGGCGTTTGTCCTCACCGTTGCCGTAGCGACGCCTCGGCTCTCTTCCACACTCATTAATTCCTTGGTTTTTTTGGTCTTTAAAGGAGGAACAAGTCCAAACCAAGCCGCAGCTTTGTGGATGTTTTTGTGCCAAGTCCCTTCTGACAATGAGCGTGCCTCGTCGCAGAAGTAGATACTGGTGTTTTAAAGGATCCATGCCAGTCACAGACCTAGAGTTGGTTTTTAGGTCCATCCACGCTAATATCGGGAACGCCTGGCTCAAGCATGTAGCTCCGCCCCTTCCGTCTAAAAGCTCCTGTCTCAGTCAAGTAGTAGTATATGTCATTGTACCACTATGACATCACGCTCAGAGCAGCTTTCTGTCTTTAAAACAAAAATATTGTACATAAATAAGTTTTTGTCATTTCTCAAGTGAAATTCCCTTCTTTATTCCATCTTTTATATACTCTCCTCTGAACTCTCCTCCTCTCCTCTCCACTGTCTTCCTCTCCTCACCTCTCCTGTTCTCCTCTCCTCTCCTCCTCTCCTCTGCACTTTCCTCTCCTACTCTCCACTCTCCTCCTCTCATCTCCTCTCCATTCTCCTCTCCTCCTCTCTCTTTCTTAAAGGTATATAGGAGGATTTTCTACTTCCGGGTGGATCATTAAGACTATTGGTCCTCCCAACTGTCAATCATTCTGGTGACACGTGCTCGTCCAATAAGACCAGAGAGTTTGGTTTGAAAAGTGGAGAGGGCGGTTCTTTCCTAAAACCTGGGAAAATCCTCCTATACACCTTTAAGAGCCATGCATGTTGTGTTCTGATTTGTTCGCAGCATTTTACTTTTACAAAACTCTTTCTGTTGGTACTAACATTGTTGTTTATGAAAGTTTTAAGAGGCCATGTTTAATTCAATCTTTGTGTGTGGTGTGTGTGCACTGCGGCCCTCTGGTGGTCAAACCGTGTGTTACAGGCGCGTCTGTAACCTGCTCCTCCTCTGCTGCTGCTTCTGTCCCGACAGCAGTATCCCCACTCTCTCTCACACTCTCACGGCTCATCCCTCGCTCTCCTCCTCCTCCTCCTCCTCTCTCCCGGACCTCTCTCTCTCCCGCTCTAAGATCTGCCCTCTGTTCTCTCACCTCCAGGAGTTTCTGCATTCGCCGTTCATCCGCAAACAGGGCAACATTTACAAACCCAACAACAAGGACATGGACAACGAGAGCATGAACGAGAAGAGCATGGAAGACGTGCACACCAAAGAGATCGACCTGGTGAACCGCGACCCCAAACATGTGAACGACGATGTGGTCAAGGTGCGTAGACTTGTGTGCCAAAAAGTGGATCCAATGCGGCTTCACGCGCAACCGGGGTGATGGCAAGGTGAATGGGAATGAGGGAAAGGGGGTGTATAGAAATGGGCTTTTATGGATGCTGTGCGTAAAGGTCGATCCAAAACGCGCAGTTGCAAGTGGTCGTTGTAGTTGCAGTTTTATTGGAAGGTAGCTTTTTGACATGAGACTATTAGTAGTCGGAGCAGTGGTAGTAGTAGTAGTAGCTTTTTGACATGAGCTCTGTGCGCAAAAGTTGAACCAAACCGCATGGCTGGACATAGCAGCAACTAGAACAGCAGCAGTAGTAGTAGTTGTTGTATTAGTCGTAGAAGTAGTGGTAGTAGTAGTAGTTGTAGTATTAGTCGGAGCAGTGGTAGTAGTCGTAGCTTTTTGACATGAGCCCTGTGCGTAAAAGTTGAGCCAAACCGCGCGACTGGACATAGCAGCAGCAGCAGTAGTAGTAGTGTTAGTCTAAGCAGTGGTAATAGTAGTCGTCGTAGTAGTAGTAAAAGTAAGTGCATAAAAGTTGAGCCAAAGCGCGCGGGTGGAGCAGTAGTGGGAAGAGCGCGTTATGGAGATGTGGTCCAAACTTATCCATGTGCGTAAAAGTGGATCCGCCTTTACGCGCACTCAGTGTTACAATTTGGCAATGGAAACTATGTCTTTGAAACAGTTTGTTTATTTGAGGTTGCGTGTAGTTTCTGTACATTTGAGCCAAAACGTCTGCCCATCCGTCCAACACATGGGTATTTGGAAAGAGGATCGTTCTCACACCCGGATGAGGTTTATTTGACTGAGTGCGCAGGGGAAGTGTCCGTATGTTTAGACGGATCACAGAGAGAGAGAGAGAGGGGGGGGGGGGGGGCAGAGCTCTTTGAACCAGGATTATGGTGGTGCCACATGTTTTTCCAGTTTAGATAATTATTTTTCTACATTATATTTGTGAATAACAGAGTAATCCACAACAACTAGTAGATCAGTCAAATTGACACATTTTTTGAGCCCCTTTTCTCCAAGGTGCTTGACTCAACTCTACTGTAGTGTGTTTCTATTCCACTTTAGTATCTGGTACTGTATCCTAGCAACCTACATGCAACAAACCAGTGCCCAATAGGGGGAAAGTAGAGTATATTGGAGTATAGGGCCATGTAGGGCTTGCGGAAATAGGGCAATATTCTGCAAACAGACATTGATAGATTGATAAATTGAATTTTTGAAGGATAATCTAATTTTAAACAGTCATGTGTGAACAGTGAGGGCACATTTTTCTGTGAGAACGTTTTTGTGTTTTCTCTAAACACAAATTAATTATAGCTCGTACATCGGGACTTATCTGGTCCCAGGACGTCGTATGGAACATCTCAATCTGGACGGAGAGCAACAGTCTGTGGGGATTCCTAAAAAAATCAACTTTTAATACACTCTCTATCCTCAATACTAGAACTCCCAGTGCAGTCAAATTGACCGCTTTTCGTTAGTGTAATGACTCTGTGTAAGTACATTTGCGTTCTTCATAATCTTGTGCGCATTTAATTTATTTATGTCATGGTTTTTATGAAATTATTCTTTATTTAATCAAAGCAGCCTTGAGGCCACATTGGTAATTCAAGTTTTAGAATGTGAAGTAGTGATTCCATATACAGCACATGCGAGATTAAGAGTAAGAGACCAGAGACAGACAAGAGAGAGACCAGAGAAATCAGGAAGAGACCAGAGAGAGACCAAAGACCAGAGAAAGCAGAGAGACACCAGAAGAGACCCAAGAGTAGAGAGCAGAAACCAGAGAAAGCAGGGAGACCAGAGAAAGCCAAGAAATCAGAAAGGGACCATCGATTTCAGTGGGAGCCGTCAAAATGTCTGCTATGGGAGTTCTAGCATTAAACAGGAAAGTAGCAGATATAACGTGTTAAAGAATACATATTGCTCTAAAACCAGTGGCTGAAGGCTGAAGTCTGCCAGTGTTTGGTTGAATGAAGGATGTGGCTCTGATTTTCTCATAAAAAACTGCTATTTGTGGATCTGCGTGAGGATGACTCAGAGCAGCGCTGGTATTTGTTAGTGAAAATACATCTGTGCTTTTGATAAACTGTGGAGATTGTGGAGGGTTGAAGGCCGTGGAGCCGTGGGGAAGTGGTACCGAGCAGCCACACCCAGACATCACCATGGAGCAGGTGCTTTCAATGGGTTTAGAGGAAAATGTGAGCTGAGGTGCTGACATGTGTTCCAGAAGAAAGATTCAAAATCTGGTGAACAAACCAGACCACAAAAATGCTGTCTTTGTTTTATTAGAAAAAACCCTTTTATAAGAATGAGCCCTGTGAGTCACTTATTTGGTGCTTCATGCTGAGAGCTGATTGGCTGAGTGAGTCTGGTTTTCTCATTTTCACCAGAAAGAGAACAGAGAGAGAGAGAGTAGAGACCTGAGAGGGACCAGAGTGAGAGATAGAGAGCAGGAGAGACTAGAGAGAGACCAGAGAGAGAAGAGAGAGAGAGTAAAGAGAGACTATAGAGAGACCAAAGAGAGAGAGAGAGGGGGAGAAAGACTAAAGAGAGACTAGAGAGAGACCAGCGAGAGACCAAAGAGAGAGAGGGAAAGAGACTAAAGAGAGACTAGAGAGAGACCAAAGAGAGAGAGAGAGGGGGAGAAAGACTAAAGAGAGACTAGAGAGAGACCAAAGAGAGAGAGAGAGAGGGAGAGAGACTAAAGAGAGACTAGAGAGAGACCAGTGAGAGACCAAAGAGAGAGAGAGGGAGAGAAACTAAAGAGAGACTATAGAGACCAAAGAGAGAGAGAGGGGAAGAAAGACTAAAGAGAGACTAGAGAGAGACCAGTGAGAGACCAAAGAGAGAGAGAGAGAGTGAGAGAGACTAAAGAGAGACTAGAGAGAGACTAAAGAGAGAGAGGGAGTGAGACTAAAGAGAGACTAGAGAGAGACCAAAGAGAGAGAGAGAGAGAGGGGGAGAAAGACTAAAGAGAGACTAGAGAGGGACCAGTGAGAGACCAAAGAGAGAGAGAGAGAGAGAGGGAGAGAGACTAAAGAGAGACTAGAGAGAGACCAGAGAGAGACTAAAGAAAGACCAGAAACAGACTATAGAGAGAGAGAGAGAAACTTGAGACTAGAGGGAGTCTAAAGAGAGATACTAGAGGGAGAGTGACCAGAGAGAGACCAGAGAAAGAAGAGCTAGAGGGAGCCAATCGTCTTTCAGCCCAAAGAGTCAAATAGTAACAGGCTTCTTTCTTGCACAAAAGATAAACGAATGCAGCATGTTGTGGTCTGAGGTTTTCTGTTTGGGACAAAACGTTACAAACCCCAGCTTTAAAACAGGCTGTTCACCGTCTGGAGGGTTGGGTTTGTTAAGGGGAAACTTCACAATCCAACCCCAGCCATGAGCGCACGTGTCTGGGATCCGCACTGTGAGTTCAGCGGAGGGGGGGCTCTTTGAAGGGAATCCCCGCTTATACGCTGTCTCTCCGTGGGCCGGGATACACACGGAGGCTGGGTCACTGAAGGAAGGGGGGGAGGGGGACACGGAGCAGGGAACACCCCAGTCGAGGGCGCGGTCCTGGGGATATCCCGTGCTCCCCCTCTCCCCCTCCCTTCTCCTCCCCCAGCTGTGGTCCGGGACATTCCTCACATGACCTCACCCACGCGGAGGGAGGAATAGGGAACAGCTTCGTCGTGTTCTAAAAATAAGGAGAGGTCTGTTCTCAATCTGCTGCTTTTTCCATCTGAACTCGCGCCAGCTCCTCTCCTCCGCTTTACGAGCTCAATTTGGGCCGGTTTGGGGAGGAATCTGACATTTGGCAACGCCGGGATCGTTTGGGGCGACGTGAACTCACCGTCTAGAGCGCCGTCTCCCAAGTACTAAAGCTGGGGTTCCTGACTTTTCTCGACATAAATATTTCATGTTCGTCCCAACAGGAAGAGTCTTGTGGAAGTCAAATTTTCACTCTACATCTCATTAGAAAACATGTTACCTTTTGTGTAGGAAAGAAGAAAGCGCCCTGTGAGTCACTATTTGACTATCTGAGAGCTGAGGGAGAGAGATTTATAATAATGCTTGTCTTTTTTTTAATAGTTTTTAAAAGCTGTGATTCTGGTGTTTTCATTGCGACATCGTATTTGTAAATCCATATGAACCATTCAAGGATTGACCAATCATAAACTCCAGGGTGCATTAGCAACCATCTTAGCAACACGTTTATCCCTAATACAGCGGTAATCTATTGCCATGGAAGCAATGCCCTTATAAGGAAATTGAATCCAGCTAGCCTATGTTTATATCGGCCTCTTCCGCATTAAGGCTAACACTTGGTCTGGCTCAACAAATAGCGTCAATGGGGGGCCGAATTTAGCCTCCGGGCCACACTTTGTTGGCACAGCCCTTCTGCTCAAATGCTCGGTAATGAAAGTTGATCTCTGACTGATCCTTTATTTGGTTATTATTTGGTTTAGTCCTGATCAGCATTAACAACCACATTTTTGTATTTTTTATCAAAGAAAGGAGTCAGTCTCATGTGATCTGCAGCAACACGAGGTCTGAAGGAGTTCTACCAGTGACACACACACACTCACAGGGCTTTGGTTCTTTCTCTACTGTTGAAAAATTAGATTAATTTTAAGAATATATTTTTATCAACCCAGGAGAAACTGCATGTGCAAAGTAAAGCCACTGTATGTCTCCTTTAATAGCACTGCTGTAGACTTGCTTTAGTCCCCCTTCAGTCCTGCTTTAGTCTCTGCTTTAGACCTGCTTTAGTCCTGCTTTAGTCTCTGCTTTAGACCTGCTTTAGTCCTGCTTTAGTGCATCTTTAGTCCTGCTTTAAACCTTTTGAGATCCTACTTTTGCGCATTTTTAGTCCTGTTTTAGGACTGCTTTATTCTTGCTTTAGTCCCTGCTTTACTTGTGCTTCAATTCTGCTTTAGACCTGCTTTAGTCCAGCTTTAGGCCTACTTTAGTCCATCTTTAGACCTGCTTTATAACTAATTTATACCTGATTAAGACCTGCTTCAGTCCTGCTTTAGACCCGCTAAACAAACACAGTCCTTTAATATTCTGAATACAACCCTTTTCATCCGTAGCCTTCTGTCTGTACTCTCACACGTCTCATGTGATTTCAAGTAAGTTTGATTCTGACTCAAAACTTTAGAAAACTTCATAACCGCACACAACCCTGACTCTGCGTGGTCCCGGTTGTGGTTGTCGAGGAGACGGTGCTGTGAGGGAGTAAACAGAGATATTATAGTCTGTATCTGCTTCACAACAGACTGAGGTCAAAGTGAGAGGCGCTAATGCTTCGATAAGCTCTCTGTCACCTCACTCACTGTAGGCCTACCAGAACACACACTTTTAAGTCCATATCTGTGTCCCTTCTCACACACCAGTATTCATACGCTGACTAAATCAACTGTTCTATGTTGTTGTTAAAAATTAGTCCTGCTTTAGTCCTGCTTTAGACCTGTTTCCTCACTGAGCCGTTTGTGTTATATATAACTCTTAATGACAGAGTGAAGGGATTCCCTGTAACTCTGTTTTTCCAGCCTCTTCCTGCACATTTGCAGAATGCAGTGAGTGGTTTTTTCCATTCAGGACACATGAAGATCCTATAGATCCAGGACTGAGGGTGTAGAACCAGGACTCAGGCTGGAAATCCAGGACTGAGGCTGTAGATCCTGGACCGAGGCTGTAGATCCAGGACTGAGGCTGTAGATCCAGGACTGATGCTGTAGATCCAGGACTGATGCTGTAGATCCAGGACTGAGGCTGTAGATCCAGGACTGAGGCTGTAGATCCAGGACTGATGCTGTAGATCCAGGACTGATGCTGTAGATCCAGGACTGATGCTGTAGATCCAGGACTGAGGCTGTAGATCCAGGACTGAGGCTGTAGATCCAGGACTGATGCTGTAGATCCAGGACTGAGGCTGTAGATCCAGGACTGAGGCTGTAGATCCAGGACTGATGCTGTAGATCCAGGTCTTTAAGGCGGACCTACATGTTTGTGCCAGACGTTTTCGATATGAGCGTGGATGGATTTAAAAACAACTCCAGGTCTGTCACTTAGAAGGGACAGACCTGGTTTCTCAAGTTGTAAAACAGAAGTGTATTTTTCAGAATTCTCCTCTCTTCAGTTTCTGTTCGGTCTCGTCTCAGCCTCCTTTTCTCTGCTTTTCTTCAGAAATGTCCGTAGCTCAGTCTTGGTCCTGATTAAAACTAAAATAGTGGAAAGATTTTTTATGTGAAACTTGAAACTGTGCAGGGGTCTGACATCACCCAGAAGAGATTCTCATTTAGTCCCATTTTACAGCCACGTCTGGGAGAGAGACCAGAGAGAGACAAGAGACCAGAGAGAGACCGGAGAGGGAGACCAGAGAGAGACACCAAAGACATGGACCGGGGAGAGACTAGAGAGAGACCCGAGAGAACAGTGACCAAGGACTAGATCAAAAGTAGTTTAATCAAGTAGTTCACTCATTTCTTGAGTTGTTCATATAGCTTTGAAATGTAGTCTCTCTTTTTCTTCATAAAATTAAGATGACTTTAAACAGAAAGAATACAAGTGTGTGTAAACAGGTCTGCAATGTGCTCTGTAATGTATGTCCAGAGGGGGCGCTGCTATGACTCTGACACTTACCCCTCTTAAAGCTGCATTACCTGACTATTTTATGTATTCATTACAAAAATTAATAACATATCCATGCAATGCATTGGGATATACGTTCTTTTGAAGAAAAAGTAGCGCAGATTTAGCTGGCGTGTCATTTTATTTTAGATCGAGTTTTTGTGAAACAAGGAAGATAATTTGTTTTGGGACCAGATTGTGACCAATCACAGCGGACCACTGGCCCCCACTTTCTTGAGAAAAGCCACTGGTCTCTTGTTAGCACAGACAGCTGAGGTAAACAAGCAGCGGAGGCTAACCTGAAACTTCCCGTGTCTTCGTTACCGGTTACTGCTTACACAGCGAAACAGCCATCCAAAAGAAAGTCTTGTCCTCCGCGCTTCCCGGTTCTATCATTCTATGGTCACGCCATCCACGTTCAAATGTGCGATCCATATTGTGAGACGTGAGCTCCGTATTTAGCACATGAGAACAGGCTGAGGGGGAGAGGAGTAGTGGGGGGTGAAAGCTCTGTGGGTGCGGGGAGGGCTAGCAGAAAGAGCGAGCCCAGCACTAACATTCGAACATTTCTCAAAGTCAGTTAGTGCAGCTTTAAGCTCCGCTGTATGCTGTGTTTGAACAATGTGTGTGTGCGGAGCTGCTCAGTCAATATTAGACAAAAGAGAAAGGCAGGTGTCCGGAGGCTTTTCATCCAAAAGAAAGCCAAATCATCAAAATATACTAAAACCAAGAGACATTTAACTCTACAGCAGTCGTCTCAGAGGACCAAAAATGTCAATACACAACATTATATCAGAGAATCTAACAATTAGAACAGAAAAAAGGCAGGAATATGTGCATAAATGTCCCGTGATGTCCGTAGATCCTCCTGCATCAGCGAGGAACGACTCAAACGGACGGGCCGAAGCTGTAGATACAGGGCTGAGGGATCCACACTTACCATACCAGCAGGATGCCTCCATATGCACAGAATGTTTTGCATTATTTGGAAAGCTATTCATGTATGTTTGAGTCATCCATACTCTCTTTCTCCGGTGACGCCATCGCTCAGAGATTTAAAATGTTCCTAAACAGAATACTATTTCACCTGTGTGAACGGAGCTGACTCTTCGCAGCTGTGCAGGGCCCTGGGCGTGGTCCTGGTTTTATCTGTGGGCGTGGTCCTGGTTTTATCTTTTAACAAATAAAACTCATGATTTATGACAGAGTAATGTGCTGACAATCTGCAGATGGAGAAATATGACATCATAAATCTATCTTCAGAGCAATGAGAAGCAGCCACGGTGATAATTGGCCCGTGATTCGTCAATAAAAAATGATATGAGCTCCACATTCAACACTATCTTTAGGTCTGATTTGAAGTCAATATTTTCTGACCGTGATCAGAAGTCTCCATCCCCCAGTTCTAAATAGTGCCTGTTGTCCTTTAACATCTTTGACAGGTAGGAGTCTTCTGTGGTAGTTGTGGATGAGGGTTTTTTCCGCTCTGGTCTCTCTCTGGTCTAGTCTCTCTGGTCCCTCTCTCTCTGTTCTCTCTGTAGTCTCTCTCTCTCTGATCCCTCTCCGCAATCTCTCTGGTGTATCTTGTCTCTCTGATGGTAAAGCTAATTGTTCTTGGCAAAAAGCCTCCATCTCCTGTAAATTCCTAGGCCACCTGCACATCTGAGATCTCTTCAGACCGGCTCATTGATAATAGACTTTACAAATAGAAAACAATAAACGGCTTCACACAACTACTGAGTGATTTACCATTGATGTCATATTGTGTCCCTAACATCTCCATCTTCCTCAGGTGGACTTCGAGGACGTGATCGCGGAGCCCCCTGGCACCTACAGCTTTGACGGCGTGTGGAAAGCCAGCTTCACCACTTTCACTGTGACAAAATACTGGTGCTACCGCCTGCTGACCGCGCTGGTGGGCATCCCGCTGGCTCTGGTGTGGGGTATCTTCTTCGCCATCCTCTCCTTCATCCACATCTGGGCCGTGGTGCCATGCGTGAAGTCCTACTTGATTGAGATCCACTGCGTCAGCCGCGTTTACTCCATCTGCGTGCACACGTTCTGCGACCCGCTGTTTGAAGCCATGGGGAAGTGCTTCAGCCAGATCCGTGTACGCACAGTCAAGGAGGTTTAAGGAACGGTCTATGCAAGATCCAACCCCTTGTCCACCTGGAAGAACTTCCTAAATCTCCACAAACCCAAAGGAGGTCTATGCACACACAAAGAAGATATAATCATTGTCCACCAAGATGATTTTCCTCAATCTCTACAAATGCAAGGAGGTCTAAGGAAAGGTCTACACACACACCATCCAGTTCTGATTGAATATTTGCAAACACACCATTATGGAGGTCTGAGCCAATTTCTACGCACACACCTGCAGCAACAAAATCGTCCCCAATGTCCACAAGCCCATCGTCAAGAAGGTCTAAGGGAAGGTCTACTCCTACTAGATCTAATGCAAATTTCACCTACATCGGCCCCAATGTCTGCTTACGAACCACTGGGGAGGTCTGAGCTTATGTCCATATACACCAACAGCAAGATCGGTTCAAGTGTTCACCTAGAACTGGCATATCCAAACCAAGGCTCGCGACCAAATGTGACCCTCCGAAAAGACACTTTGGATTCCTTTTGACACAAATATCGCAAAACAACTTTTTACTGCTAGTTTCTACAGTCCATCACTAATAAAAAAAGGTTGAGGTTCTAAGCCTCAATAGATGCACAATATGTCCTCACACGCAATAGATCTAAATCCATAGACTGTGTTGGCCGTGGACTGTGCTATCCAGCAGTTGAAGAGATCATGGCTGTGATTTTTTTGTACATTCTTTTTCATTGAAAAGTATACAACTAGTTTTCTGTTCCTGTTTGTGTTACACTCGCCATTCTGGCCAACACATTTTCAGGGTTTGCGCTGTTAGTGATCCTGGTATTTGCCAAGACTAGATCTGTAATAAACCTATCAAGTGCCTTTTCAGAAGTTCTGCCTAAGCTAGCTGCTAAGATGTGTGATTGAGACCTCTCTCTATCCTTGAAGGAGCTTTTTAAATTGGCTTCTTCCAGATATGTCAACTCTGATCTACAGTCTAATATGCATAAGAAGTTACCCTTTGTGACCCAAAGTTGCCAAAATGCCTGGATTGGCAGCCACTAACAAAGAGACTATTGCCAAGAATGCTTTACAGCACGACATAAAACAGATCTCCCCCTATCCCACAACGTTATAAGATCTCTTTGGAAAACAGAAGGAATTAAGCCCTCCACCAGAAATGTTATGACAGAGAGTTTGGTTTTGTCAGTCCTTCGCAGCGCTCTGTGTGGGTAGCAGGTTTCACAAAGCCTGGATTACATGACCCCTGAGTCCACAAAACCCAAACAAAACCTGGATGAGAACTGTCTAGGCTTCTATCCTGGTTTCACCCCAAGTTCAGCTCAAAAACTCTGGAATCCTCTTCACAATTAACAGTTTTTCTTTACGTTTTCCACCCGTACGCCTTCCCCAACGTCTCTGCTCTGCTTGTGTCTGACACTGAACTGACGCTGCCCTATAGCCTGCATCGCTGCCGTCCGGAGAAACGCGCTAAAAAAATATCAAACTGAACTTTTTGTTTTTGGGATAATATTTTACACAAGGACTAACGCAAGCCACCGTGAAAGGAGAGACTGTACAAAACTGTGTATATATATGGACTTTTGTCCCGTTTTTCTTCAAGACCGAATTGGATTTAACAACATAGTCTTTGGAGAGGTTTATAGATGGATGAATATGGGGTTTATGCATGAGTTTGTAAATTTATATACTGTCTTAGTAAAGTTTACTTTAAAGCCGATTTCCTGTTGCTGGGTTTTTTGAATCTGTTAAAAATTTCGAGACTGTCAAAAAGCCTATTCCTGAGTCCAAAAACTGGCCCAAGGCTTTAAACTATCTTCCAACATAAATTAAGTAAAGACGCATTGTTTTTGCACAAAATTGCCCAAAGGTTGCACCAATATTAAAGCTCAAATGCCTGAGATGGTGAGTTGTTGGTCCAAATCTTGTATTTCAACCAAAATAGTCTTAGTTTTTACAGTTGTTCCATCTCATAACCAGGAACACGTCTCCCAAGAACTTCTGTCCAAATGCTTTCAAATTGTGACAAAACCTCAAACTATGATGTCATGGACAGAGCTGCGTAGCTTCGATTTGATCACGCCATGTTGTAAATATCCATCTGCTTTCTTCCGCTTTATTCGTGGCCTGGTTGCAGTCTGACCAGAGACGTCATAATTCCTCTAACCAGTAATTATGTTGAAATAGCAGTGAAATGTTTTTTTTGACTGTGAGAAGTTATTTCACTCTAAAATATGAGAAACTGGACCAAAAACGTGCTTTTCATTCCCATGCTTAATTAGATCCTGTGTGTCTATTATTTCATTGTGTTTTTAATGTGGAAAACCAATCGGTCTTGAGGGAAAGCGAGGAAACGTCCATTGTCCATTGTACTTTCTCTGCTTATACACATACAGCCAGCCACACCTGTTTGACACTGCCTTCACTTTGGATAAGGGCTATTTTTGGACCATTTTAGGATAAATAGAATTATTCAATAGTTTTTATAGAACTGATTTGTGTTGTTTTAAGTTCTCAATCCAGTGCAATATCCTGGAGGTAAAGTTTGTGTTTTTTCTTATAGCACTTATGTCACCTTTAGCACAACTATTTAGAATGAAATGCATAGATTTCTCATAACTTGTTATACTTTTGGTGTCCAAAGGGGAACTGCGCATTCATGTATGTCTTGCCAAAGGCTAAGTTGCATCAGTTTTGAAGATAATCTTTTTTATTTTGGGTTTTTTGACCATGAAATAAACCACAACTGAATGAATTATACTTGTAAGCAACGTTTATTGGCAGAAAAAGTGTACGTTTAGCTACATGTATCCATTCAGACACGAAATGCCTAGTTCCTCTTTGAAACCAGTCCACTCTTACGCCTTAATAATTCTTGCTGTCCAGAATGTGTTGGACAGTGGATTTCTCATTCATAAAGTTGTAATATTTCTGGCTTGTAAACTTTCCTAAGCGTTATGCCAAGTTCTGGACACTGCTTCTGTCTACTGCTGTCAATGCTTTTGTTGAACTGTTTTTTTTGTATCATATTCTGTGACGATTTCCTGCTTTTGACTCACGCTGCGCACATTAAAGTTTGATATTGTCACTGGGACTTGGCCCTTTTGGTTTTTATACCAAGTTCAAAGATTTTGTGCAACATTATTTACAGTATGTCTAAACTGGACTCTACGGTCTAGTTACCAGGTCTGGAAGCAAAATCTGCCTTTCTATATTCTATTCATGTGTATTTGTGTTTCGCCCTAAATCACAACAGCCTTGGTCCGTATCGAGCAGCATGACCACTGTCCACAAAAGTTGATAAACGTGCATAAATGTCCCACATCATCACTGTCCTTGGACCCTCCTGAATTGGCAAGGAACCATACAAATACCGTTATAGGAAAAAAGTGAGAAACCTTGGGGTGGACGATATTGAGAGGGATCTGGATACACGGATAGACAGGCTGTAGATTCAGTAGATTTTACTTATATAATTAATTATCGTAAGAAACCAGTCCACAGTTTAAAACATGAAAACCCAAATGAAATATTACATAAGGGGCAGAATGTACGTGGATAATGCCTTTTTTGGGATTATGTTTCAATGTTTGGACTTGTGGCTATGCAGAAACACTGGGCTTTTGTGCAGCTGCTGTTTGGAACTGACTCACACTCTGTAAAAGTAAACCAGGATCCTTCACACACATGCAGGACAATTAGGACACTCAAGAGACACATCTATCAAAAGGCCCTTTGTTTGGGCTTGCATATTAAAGCTGGGGGACCAAAATCACACATGCGCATTGCAACAGAAAGACAAAGTAAAATGTTGTGAACAAATCGCAACACATTGTCTTCATCTCAAAACATGTTGAAGGAAGAGCTGTGCTGAGCAAGGGTGTTGCTCTCTTTTTCACCTTTCTGATAAAGCCGAAGAAAGATGTGACAAGACCAAACCGTTTTAGTGCCGGGAACTAGTGACGTGGATAGAGTTCTGTTTTTGCGGTTTGAAAGTTACGCACCCCAGCTTTACCTTAACGTCCTGGTTTAACCTTCGTTTCGTCACTGGGGATTTCTCGGCAGAGTTCGGTGTGTCTCTGTGTGTGTCTGTGTGTGATCTGCCCACGGCTTCAGCACAAGACACATTTTTCCAAACCCTGGCATTACGTCTCCACGGCAACAGGAAACACAAATACTGAAAATACCACTGGAAATACACACAGAGAACGCCAGGGCTACAGAGAGAGATTGAACATAAATTAAAAAAGGGAAGTTGCATAATGTGTCATTGAGAAAGCTTTGATTTTAATGAGCAGCAGGTGATGTGTGAACACGAGTTTGAAAAAAACAAAAATACATAAACTGCTCTACTGCCTGAACGTTTCTATGTTCAGTCTTTTTCCCACATTTTCTCAGTAAACTAAAGTTATTTGTTAAAAAGCAGGCGTCATTCCACCAGAAAAAGACAAAATTGGAGTCATTTAAACTGTCATAAGAAACAAACCAAAAATATGGAGCTGTTCTACCACAATGAAACCTTCCTCCGATTGTCTCACACTTTTAATGCTAACCTACGTGTAAGCAACAGCCTAGAACAGTTTGGTTTTAATGCCGTCTTCATACATTTGTTTTGAAAAAGACTAGGTTGCCAGGTAGAGCATTGGCCTTCAGGCCTGAAGGTCGTGGGTTCAATTCCCACCTCTGCACCTTCTCCACCAACTCCCACTGATGACTGCTGTCGTTGTGTCCTTGGGCAAGACACTTAACCCCACTTTGCCCAAAGCCCCCACTGAAAGATCAAGGCTATGCTCACAGTCAGAGAGCAGCCGTCCTCCTGTGGACTCACCACCTGCAGAGGGTCAGTGAGGGGCTGGTGCTATGAGACTTGGGTGGCATCTCTGACTGTCACCCCCCTGACCCAGAAATGGATTAAAGGGTAGAAAATGGATGGATGGATGGATAGGTTGCCAGGCGTGTTTTGTGCCTGCTCGTCTCTCGGTGTGGAAGGAAGAGGCAACTGAAGATCCAGTGTTTTTGTTCAGTGGGAATGAGGCTAGTGTAAACTTCAAATGGAACATGTATTATGCAAATTATATCTTTATTATAATACTTATAAACACATTACAATATTGGTTCCTCATCAAAAACCGGAGATTTTAAATTTGAACACAACTCGTCAATAACAACACAACAGGAAATAGTTTAATAAAAGTGCAGTTTATTGGCTTTTTCAGCTCGACACCAGTGTTTGTTTACAACAGTGATACAAATGCACTTTGGATTTTAATACTGAGAGAAGGCTTTGTGTTCATTAATGCAATAACCAAAAAGGTGATTTGAAAAAGCAAAAGATGAGATGTAAAAAAAAAAAAAAAAGAGATACAAAAGTAAAAAAGACCTGAGTGGACCAAACGTGAGGCACAAGCTGAGAATACGCTACTGCATTGATTTGTTATTTCTAAAGAGGAAAGTGGCTCAGTCCTGGTTCAGTCCTGGTTCAGTCCTGGTTCAGTCCTGGTTCAGTCCTGGTTCAGTCCTGGTTCAGTCCTGGTTCAGTCCTGGTTCAGTCCTGGTTCAGTCCTGGTTCAGTCCTGGTTCAGTCCGCCTTTAGGGCTGTACACAAATTCATTGATTTGAAGTGAGTTAGTAAACGTTTAGTTCTATCAAATGTGAATCAATAAGATACAATTTTAAAGCAAATCCTGTCAAAACAGTTTTAACAACCGTGTCGTCGGCCCCTGAACACGTCTGGTGAAGGTTTCTAACGTTAGCATGATGTGCGTCTAGGTGAGCACTTTCTTCTTACAGTCCACGGAGCAGAACAGGTGGTTGTTGACGGCCATGAAGCGTTTTCCCATGAGGCACTGGGAACAGCCTGAGCACTGGAAGCACTGGGGCTGAGCGTGCCAGCAGGAGGCGCCGTACGAGACCCGCTGAGCCTCCGGTTCGATGGCGCTCTGGCAGGACGCGCATTTCTGATGGAGGGAACACACACACACACACAGATGGATTTGATTTGAGTTTCCCTTTGTATGAATAATAATGTGACAGAAGTGAAACACAAGTGGTAAGTTACTTTTGGCTTTAATGCAGCTAAAAGATACATTTGATTGGGGAAATTAGGCAAAACTTTTATTATGACGTCACAGTTTGTAACAAGTTTGGAAACAGAAATTGGACAAAGGAAGAGGGGGTACCTATTTATGCCAAATGTTTCTCAGCTAGCAGACTGGCATGGATGTCCCCAAAAGTCATTTATGTTAGCATTTAGGTGGTAGCAGAAGTAGTAGCAGCATCAGCAATATAAGTACCATAGCATTATCAGTAGTAGCCATAGTAGTAGTAGTATCAACAGTAGCAGCCGTAGTGGTAGTAGCAGCCATAATAGTATCAGTAGTCGAGGTAGCAGTGGTAGCAGCAGCATCAGTAACATCTCCTCACCATAGCATAGTTGTTCATGTAGCAGGGCTTGCAGACGGGCCGCTCCGCCTCCATCACGTAGGTCTCTCCCGCCAACACACAGTCACAGTCGAAGCAGCAGAAGTGTTTCAGGTGCCAGTCCTGTCCTTCAGCCTGAGTGTACTCATTACAGAAGATCAACTGTGGAGGAGACACCAGAGACCAGGATCAGCATCCGACTGGGACCGGATCAAGTACCAGTACCAACAGATGTGTAACAGGCACTTTTATGAAGGTGTCGCTTTCTCTGGTCTATCTGTCTCCCGCTCTCTGTCCAGTCTCTCTATCTCTCTCTCTGGCCGGTCTTTCTAGTCTCACCTCATCACAGCCGCCACAGCGAGGCTTCTCGCTGTCGCCATAGTGACGACCACAGTACATCCGTTCCTTCTTCCAGAAATAGATCATGTCGACCAGCAGCTCCTCGCAGGTCACACACACGAAGCAGGCCGGGTGCCACATCTTGTCGTATCCTGCCCTCTCGGCATACACGGCAGGGTCGCCCACGCGCATTGGCAACTTACACTGGTGACATGTCTGAGGAAGGAACAGAAGAGGGGGTTACAACCGCAAGCGGAGATCAAGGGCCCTCTCAATCTAACACATGATGAAGTTTGTTTCACTGTTTGGAGAGTGAGATACCCAAATATTGAAAGTTAGGCCTAATACTCAAAAAACAGCTGAGAACACGATTATATGATATATTTCAGGACTTGAGGAGCATGATCACTTTGATCATGCTCCTCCCTGGACAGAAGTTCCTGAATCTTTTTCCCACAAAAACTAAAACATGTTTGTTTGAACGTCTCTAGTCATTGATTTTATATAAATGGAGCAAAAATACCATAGACTGAACATTAGGAGTGGACTAACCAAGTGTGACATCACCTTAGTGTTAGCCTTAATGCAGAAGAAGCCGATTTGAACAGAAGCTAACTCTGGATTTACAAAGAGCATATCATATATCTATAACTATGGGATGTTTAAGCCCAAAATAGTGTGTATGACACAAACTGTTTCTGAGCTTTCTTCACATAGAAGTCAAATGAAGCCGGAATGAGTTTGAGTAAAACTTTGTCCATGAGCACTTCCCTATTGAGCTAGTGGGTGAGCATTGTCCCTCTGGACACGTCTTTGTTTATTGAAACCCTTGCGTTGAATAAAAAGCAGATTGATCTCCAGCTGTTTCCCTCGCAGCCTCAGACAGGTTCAAAGCAAAGCTAATATGTCCCCATTTCCAGAACCACAGACTTTGATCTCACAATAAGACGTTCGCAGACAAAGACTTTTCCTGCTGAAACTATGGGCCTTTCAGTTTCCATCACTACTTTCATTATTCTTACGTTTGTTTGCCACGAAATCAAAAAATGTGGCCTGGATACCAGAGCAGGAGACTCTGAGTCATCCGGGAATTATTCTGAAAGAGGAGTGATCGAAGAGAAGGGGAGAGGCGCCACCTGCTGGTCAGAAATGGCATCGCCTCAGGATAAAGAGCTTGTGAATTCAGCTCTGGTTTTAACATAAAAGCCAATGGTGGTGTCCCGTTTTAAAAATCTTAAATATATGACATTCCCTTAAGTAGTAGCAACATCAGCAGTAGTACTAGTAGTTTGTATTATGACATAATAAATTAAATATATTTACTTACAAAGTTCTGCAGAGCTCCACCGGGACTTCCAGCTCCCATGGCTCCTGCTGCAGCTGCTGTCCCCAAACTCCCACCTCCGTGTTCAGCCAGACCTCCTCCGAGACCAGACCCAGACCCAGCTCCAGCTCCAGTCCCAGTCCCAGCTCCTGGCCCAGCTCTAGACCCAGCTCCTGATCCATTCCCAAGTCCTGATCCAGGCCCTCCGTTCTGTTCTCCTCTGCCCAACGCCTGTGCCTGTGGGAGAATCATTGTACAATATCTGTTCTCAGAAGATAATGTGACATTCAACCTAATACTAAAAAGTATAAAGTGGTGTTTTTGGGCCATTGTCACTGCAGCCATAGACCCCAATGAAAAAGAATAACACTTTTATGAAGTGTTAGCTAAAAGGTCAGCCTCAGTCCTGGATCTACACTTGACTGGATACTGTGGTCTGTACCTGTGCCATCTCCTGGGGCAGCCTCACGTCTCCCACTCCCAGAGCCTCGTCTTTGTATTTGCGGACAAACTGCTGCATCTGCCGAACCTCGGCGGGGCTAAGCTCGTGGCACTTGTCCGGGTCCTGGTCGTGTTCCGGAAGCTGCCTGGTTTGGAAGAGCGAGAGTCCCGTTAGATCCAGAGACTACATTGAGACAGTTGGGGCTTTCGCTTTTGAGTTTGTTACAACATTTGACATTTTCTGTGTGTTTTGACTTGTGTTAACTTGAATAAAATCCAAAATATTCTGTTTTTAAAAAACTAGGTCTCAATATTTAAAACTCCTGTTTACAATTATTTTTGAGAAGTTTACTTCTATTTACTTGAAGAACTTGAAGGCCAGAGAGAGACCAGCGAGAGACCTGAGAGAAAGACCAGAGAGAGAAACCAGAGAGAGACCAGAGAGAAAGACCAGAGAGAGAAACCAGAGAGAGACCAGAGAGAAAGACCAGAGAGAGAAACCAGAGAGAGACCAGAGAGAAAGACCAGAGAGAGAGAACAGAGAGAGAGAACAGAGAGAGAGACCAAAGAGAGAGACCAGAGAGGGAGACCAAAGAGAGAGACCAAAGAGAGAGACCAGAGAGAGAGAACAGAGAGAGAGACCAGAGAGAGAGAACAGAGAGAGACCAAAGAGAGACCAGAGAGGGAGACCAAAGAGAGAGACCAGAGAGAGAGACCAGAGAGAGAGACCAGAGAGAGACCAGAGAGAAAGACCAGAGAGAGAAACCAGAGAGAGACCAGAGAGAAAGACCAGAGAGAGAGAACAGAGAGAGAGAACAGAGAGAGAGAACAGAGAGAGAGACCAAAGAGAGAGACCAGAGAGGGAGACCAGAGAGGGAGACCAAAGAGAGAGACCAAAGAGAGAGACCAGAGAGAGAGAACAGAGAGAGAGACCAGAGAGAGAGACCAGCAAGAGACACCAGAGAGGGAGACCCCAGAGAAGTTGTATCACTAGTTTTCAGAATAAAGTTTTTTGGCCTTAGTCACATCTTTAGATAAGTATATTCATGAGAAAACACTAAAGTCAGGTAGCCGAGCTTTACCTCCTGTTAAAGCCCAGACTGTAGGAGTGTGTGGGTTCGGTACCTGGCCATCTGCTGTCTGCGGTACGCTGCTCCGGCCGTGCCTGCGATGGGACGCCTCTCGGGGGGAAGCAGCTCTATGTAGCGCGAGGCCTGAACAAAAAACCAAACATTCGGGAAGAAGAACAACTGATTTACGCTCGTCCTTGAAGCAAAGACGAAACAACGACGCACACGGAACAGTCGCTGGAGCAGAGGAAGGACACGAGAGGAGCAGCATTTTGTCCCTTAAACTTCTTGATTATCCTGCCTCAACATTGTACATTACCAGTGCTCAAAAGATAATATAACAATCAACATTCAACCAATACTGAAAAAGCATATTAACAATATAATGATGATAATAATAATAGTAATAACAAAAGTATTGCGCTGGTTTTATAGAGCACTTTTTGGACTCTTATTCATTTAATCATCAACTCCAAATCCAGTAGTGATTTAAACTATTGTAGCCACAGCTGCCCTGGGGCACACTAACAGAACCAGTATGTGCCCCACCAGGCACCAGTGTATGTCTAGAGAACTCCTTTGGCACTGCAGTCATCAACTCTTAATTTCAGCTTTTAGAATGTGAAATACATGTGTACTGTCCAACAATTATGTAAAAGGGTAGAACACGCGGCTGGAACTGGTGTTCATGGACCATGTGATTCTGGAACAACTAGGTGACCATTTTGGCAACCATTAAAAAGCCACGGCAGCAAAACAAACCTGCCATGGACACACATGTGGAACTCAGGGTTGGGCCAAGAGCCAGCAAGTTAACTCAACTTGACTAAAGGATTTTATATTCTTTTCTTTTTCTTTAATATACTGTGACTGTGGTGTTAATGCCTTGTGTGATTGTGATCTAGTTTTGTTCAGCACTTTGAGTTGACTTGTGTATGAATTGTGCTATACAAATAAACTTGCCTTGCCAAGTTGGGCTTTCATCCCCACCTCTGTTAGACTGTAGTCACTTTAATGACCTGTACCTGGACTGTAAACTCGCACTGCTACAGTCACTTTTAATTTACTTGTACATAATATATCTTTCACATGTTTGCACATTTCCTGTATGAACATTTCCTGTCTTTTTCACACTGAGTGATACTATTTATGCCAGATGTACCTTTCTCCATTGTGAGATCAATGAAGTTTATCTTATCGTGTAGTGTCAAGTTGTAGTTGTACTTTCTCACCACATGTCTGTTGGCGACCGGAGGAGCCCACTCCAACGTGACCGACTTCATGGGGACGTCTCTGGGCACTGGCTGGACCTCTGCAGCTGAGGAGCCCGAGGACATGGGCATCGCACTGGCCTTCACTGGGGTCAGAGTCACCGAGATCCCCCCTGTAGAACCAGCCCCTGTAGAACCAGCACCAACCCCTGTAGAACCAGGACCAGCCCCTGCAGAACCAGCACCAACCCCTGTAGAACCAGCACCAACTCCTGTAGAACCAGCACCAACCCCTGTAGAACCAGGACCAGCCCCTGCAGAACCAGCACCAACCCCTGTAGAACCAGCACCAACTCCTGTAGAACCAGCACCAACCCCTGTAGAACCAGCACCAGCCCCCTGCAAACCCGACCCAGACTTAGGACCGGTACCAGAACCAGGCACTCCACCGGACCCAGAGATAGAACTGACCGATCCAAGACCCAAGGAACCAGCACCTGCCGGACAAACGGATGACAAATGACACATTAGTCTAAAGCTAGTTTTTATTGAGCTGTGCTATGATACGTATATGATTTTAGAGTTTGAGGTTTTTGTAATTCCAACAGATGTTATGGCTGAATACTTTTGTCCTCAAAATATATCCACAAGAAAGCAGAAATTACATTTATTTATTTTTAAATTTTTCACATATTTAACTGATTATATTTCATGCTGTTGAAATATCAGATCCTTTCAGTTAAACATGAAAAAGCTAACATACTCTTCTGTAATAATATCAATAGGAATCATAATCATTGTAGAGTGTTTTTCTGGGGGAGCAGGGGTGACAGTCGCTCATCTACTGTATGGAAGCCTACAGAAAGTCAAAATTACGAGTTTTCAACTGCGCATGTGCAGTTGAAAACTCGTATGTGTTGTTGTCTGGAACGGTCTCTGGTCATCCCTGTTATAGATCCATGACCATGGGTCATCCTCTACCTGCAGATTATGTGAAGATTTTTCCTACAGACAGTGACCACATCCATGAAGTAGCAGCAATAATGTTGTGGTAGTAATCGCGTTAAAATGCAAACGGTCTCTCCGTTTATGATTAGAATCCGCTTCAGGAGCCTCTAATTAATTTATCCTAAACGGACTGTGGAAGATTAATAATAAAACACATGTGGCTGTTCAAAGTCATTGAGCATCAACTGGTGACATCTGGTCAGTATCACGGCTATCGATGGATGCACCAGAAATGCAGTGAATGATATTGTGACTGACAGAGACCGTTCGCGATGACAGGACAGTGAGAGAGGTCCGCAGACAGAGGCAGGAGAACCACAGACAGAGGCAGGTGAACCACAGTCACGGGCACTGACAAGGTTACCCTTTTGGAATTGCGATCATTTCAAATCATTTGTGAATTGAAGAGTATGTGACGTGAGTGTGTGCATGCGTGCGGCCGAAACGTGAGCGCGCTCTGGGGTGAGCTGATGGAGCGAGCGTGAGGGTAAAGTTGTTGGCGTATGAGCAAGAACACAGAGGCATACAGGGAATAAGTACCATGTCTGATTATTTCATTGTGACAAAATAAAGCCCACGACTCTTTTAGCAACAATCCGGAGAAATAACTCCGCAGATAACAGTGAGGGTCTTTGAAAAGGGAGTTAAACCCATTATAGATGCATGAATAAAACCCCGTACTCAACACGTAGAAAGCACATCATTTCAGCCGTGGAAATACTCGCTCCGTGTGGACCCCTCTCAGCGCCATCGTCTGGTCAGAGTGGTCTATAGCAGATTGAATTGTCTCGATGGCTCATTTTCCTTTGATTTATTATAAAAATATTTTGCTCAAATTATTTGTTACTATGTCGAAATAAGAAGTTGTTTGATTTAAATGTTGTATATATGTAAATTGAATTTAACATAAATAAATAAAAAAGACAGCTCCCCCCTGCGTCCTACGACCGCGGTCTGGGGCTTAAACAGGAAAGTTTTACAGAATCAATCAAACAACATTATTTCTGGCTACTTCAAGGATGCAGTGGTCACTGTAGGCAATATCTTCACATAATCTGCAGGTGAAGGATGTCCAGAGACCGTTCCAGACAACAACACATACGAGTTTTCAACTGCGCAGTTGAAAACTCGTAATTTTGACTTTTAAAGTCAAAATTTTAAGTTTCTGTATGCTTTAAAAAAAAAAAAACAATGTACATGGCAGAAACGGGCTTCCATAAACATCAGCAGCTTTTTAAAACCTAAAAAACATTGCCAGGATCAAAAACATAGTATCTAAAGCAGACTTGGAGATTCTTATCCATGCATTTGTCTCCAGTAGGTTAGACTACTGCAATGGCCTGCTCACAGGTCTGTCCAAACAGGCTGTAAAACAGCTGCAGTACATTCAAAATGCAGCAGCTCAAGTCCTGACTAGAACCAGGAAGTACGACCACATTAGTCCAGTTCTCAGGTCCCTGCACTGGCTTCCTGTGGCTCAGAGAATAGACTTTAAAACAGCTCTGCTTGTTACAAGTCTCTCCATGGCCTCGCACCAAAATATATTAGTGACATGTTAGTCCCATATGAACCAACCCGGACTCTAACAGGAGTCCCGTCCCTGTGCTCCTCAGTGTCCAGAGTTAGGACTAAACATGGGGAGGCTGCTTTTCAGATTCATGCTGCTAATGTGCAAAACACTTAACCCCCCTCTGCCTGAAGCCCCATGTGAAAGACCAAAACCGCTCAGAGCAGCAGTATACAAACCTGGTCCAGTCCCAGCCACAGTCCCGGGTATGGATCCAGTGGAGGAGCTGATGGAGGAGTATCCTGAGGAGGAGCCAGAGTGAGGAGGCACCAGAGCAGAGGAGGAGAGACCTGGAGACACCATCTGAGCCATGGAGGAGACCGGCATGTTCACGGTCAGACACATGTTGGACTGGTACCCAGGGATCCCCTCCCGCTTCAGCTTGGCCATCAGCCCTGCGGAAACACACCTGTGAATAATGATGATAAATACAGCCGCAAGCAGGGATGAATGACCCTCGCCTTCAACAAACTGCTTACTCCTTACCCTGCCTGTGTGTATTCTGCCCCCTGCTGGTTGTGAGGTGCTATTGTGTCCCTAGGTTTAAATATGAATTCATTTTAGATATGGAAAAAAAGACAGGACAGGAACAAACAGTAATGGCTCAGAAACCAGTGAGTCACATTTGGAAAAATACTGAAAATACGGCATTGAACTTAAGGCCATGGGACTTTTCACAATGGAATTAAAATGTATTCAACACATTCGTCCAAACACGTTTTTGTTATTATTATTTATTGTTCATTTATTATTTGTTTTATTGTTTTTATTTTATTTATTTACCTATTTTTTTAAATCATATAACTAGTATTTTATTGCATTTTTTTAGTTCATTGGTATTTTTTTACATTTGTATTGTATTTACTTTGTGCATTGTTAAATGTGTTGATTTGATCTCTGTGCAGCACTTGGGAAACTTGATTTATAAAATGTGCTATATAAATAAAGTGGATTGGATTGGATATGTTCATAATATATTCTGAATGTGTTACAAAAGTTCACTAATAGCATTATAAATATTATGAGATGGCCATTTGTATTTTAACTTCAGCTCCATCCTAGCCCTTAATTCAATTCAATTCATATAACTTTATTTATCAGTGAGAAACTTCCGCATAGACAATTTAGAACAGGTCAAATTGAGAAACACTTTGGCTGTTTGTTCAGGTCCTGCAGCTGTGCCACATGTCTGCAACTTCTTCTGCATTTAAACTAACACTATGATGATGTCAGATGTATGGAACAGACATTTTATCATGGTGAAAAAACACATTAACTCTGGTCATTCTCGTGGTCGCACCAAAGGCCCTGCAGGCTCCGCTCAGACCGCTGACCTGTGTACTTTGTGTCCTCGAACAGTTTTCCCACTTTCGTGTTCTCCTCAGAGTTCATGAGGACGTCGTGCTCCGTCAGGCCGCACTTACAGTTACGGCAGATCTTCCTGAACACAGAACAGATTCAGACGTTTATTTCAGTCACAATAAAACACATTTCCCCCTGATCCCTGTCAGAACAGAGAGGAGGGAATCTGCTCAGTCTTGTCCCGACAGTTTCATTCCAGGTCAGATTTATGACGAGACGAGCTACAACGTGACTGCAGCTTCAGACCAGAGAGAGGGAGCAAAGAGAGGGACCAGAGAGAGGGACCAGAGAGAGAGCAAAGAGAGGGACCCAAAAGAGGGACCAGAGAGAGAGAGAGAGAGACAAGAGAAAGGGACCAGAGAGAGGGCAAAGAGAGAGACCAGAGAGAGAGAGCAAAGAGAGGGACCAAAGAGAGAGACAAGAGAGAGAGGGACCAGAGAGAGGGACAAGAGAGAGAGACAAGAGAGAGGGACCAGAAAGAGAGCAAAGAGAGGGACCAAAGAGAGAGAGAGCAAAGAGAGGGACCAAAGAGAGAGACATGAGAGAGAGGGACCAGAGAGAGGGACCAGAGAGAGGGACCAGAGAGAGAGGGACCAGAGAGAGGGACCAGAGAGAGGGACCAGAGAGAGAGGGACCAGAGAGAGGGACCAGACAGACCAGAGAGATCAGAGAGAGAGCGACCAGTGAGAAAGCAGAGAGAGACCAGAGAGACACCAAAAATGAATGAATCATATCTATGGAAGCCCGTTTCCGCCATGTAAAAAAAAAAATAGCCTACAGAAAGTCAAAATTTCAACTTTAAAAGTCAAAATTACGAGTTTTCAACTGCGCATGTGCAGTTGAAAACTCGTATGTGTTGTTGTCTGGAACGGTCTCTGGTCATCCCTGTTATAGATCCATGACCATGGGTCATCCCTGTTATAGATCCATGACCATGGGTCATCCTCTACCTGCAGATTATGTGAAGATTTTGCCTACAGACAGTGACCACATCCATGAAGTAGCAGCAATAATGTTGTGGTAGTAATCGCGTTAAAATGCAAACGGTCTCTCCGTTTATGATTAGAATCCGCTTCAGGAGCCTCTAATTAATTTATCCTAAACGGACTGTGGAAGATTAATAATAAAACACATGTGGCTGTTCAAAGTCATTGAGCATCAACTGGTGACATCTGGTCAGTATCACGGCTATCGATGGATGCACCAGAAATGCAGTGAATATTATTGTTACTGACAGAGACCGTTCGTGATGACAGGACAGTGAGAGAGGTCCACAGACAGAGGCAGGAGAACCACAGTCACGGGCACTGACAATATTAAACCTTTTGGAATTGCGATCAGTGCATTGAAGAGTATGTGACGTGTTTGCGTACACGCGGGGGTGAGCTGATGGAGCGAGCGTGAGGGTAAAGTTGTTGGCGTATGAGCAAGAACACAGAGGCATACAGGGAATAAGTACCTTGTCTGATTATTTCATTGTGACAAAATAAAGCCCACGACTCTTTTAGCAACAATCCGGAGAAATAACTCCGCAGATAACAGTGAGGGTCTTTGAAAAGGGAGTTAAACCCATTATAGATGCATGAATAAAACCCCGTACTCAACACGTAGAAAGCACATCATTTCAGCCGTGGAAATACTCGCTCCGTGTGGACCCCTCTCAGCGCCATCGTCTGGTCAGAGTGGTCTATAGCAGATTGAATTGTCTCGATGGCTCATTTTCCTTTGATTTATTATAAAAATATTTTGCTCAAATTATTTGTTACTATGTCGAAATAAGAAGTCGTTTGATTTAAATGTTGTATATATGTAAATTGAATTTAACATAAATAAATAAAAAGACAGCTCCTCCCTGCGTCCTACGACCGCGGTCTGGGGCTTAACCCTCCAAGGTCTAGGGTCATTTTGGGGAACCTTCCTCGCCTGGTTTTCTTTGTGTATAATTGCTCATAAAAGAGTCATTTTTTGATGCAGAGTCAAGCAGTATACTTTGTTTTTTTCAGTACAACCTGGGGTTTTAGAATATCTATATTTTAGAGCTGTCATATCAATTATATAAAACATTTGGAGTCATAAAGACAAAGAAAAAATCGAAACGGAAAATCAATTTTACAAAAATTTATTGAAAAAACACAATGAAATGCTATAAACAACTTTTTACACTGCATAGAAATGTTATTTATGGTCTTGGGGATAATGGGGAAAAAATTTGAATCCGTAACTATTATACTTTTTACAAAATTCCTCTATAAATGCTAAAAACGCTGTACTCCTGATGCCCTTCCTCAAGCAGTTTGTCTATGAGGCTGTGGTTGCTTCTGTATCACAGATGTAAAATATGTAAAGCAAAAGAAACAAAGACAAAAAAAAAAAAAAACATCTAATTTATATATACAAATACATTATATGCACATAATATCATTTTACTGTATTTATTATTGTCTATTCTCAATAATGCGAACTCCTCTGGTTCTGGTTCTTCTGAGCGCTGCTGCCTATGCTGCAACAAGTAAACAGAGAGGAGTGAGAGATCCTACTCTCTGACAATCTTTGTCTGAGTCCCCGTGTGTGTAAACAACTTAACATGCGGCTGTGCCTGGCTCACGGGGCACCGCTTGAAGATCCGTTTGGGGGACTGACTTTCATACACACGTAGTTTATCCCCCGTATGTAAAAAAGTAAGTCGCTAGCGTTCACCGTTCGCGAGTAAATTGATCATTTGTAAAAGATGTGCGCCACCATCGTCGGCGATGGCATCGTCTTTTAAGGCTTAAACAGGAAAGTTTTACAGAATCAATCAAACAACATTATTTCTGGCTACTTCAAGGATGCAGTGGTCACTGTAGGCAATATCTTCACATAATCTGCAGGTGAAGGACGTCCAGAGACCGTTCCAGACAACAACACATATGAGTTTTCAACAGCACATGCGCAGTTGAAAACTCATAATTTTGAGTTTAAAAGTTGAAATTTTGACTTTTAAACTCAAAATTTTGACTTTCTGTATGCTTTTTTTTTTTTATTAACATGGCGGAAACGGGCTTCCATACATATCAGATATCATTCATGAGAGTTTTTGACAGTCTCCTATCGAGTCGACGCACCGATTATAATCTGAAGCATAATTCTGAAAAATCTGAAGAATTTTCATAAACTGAAGTTAGACCCTGACAGGTCATGTTTCCGCTGGTCACGAGGCGCCGGCGAGACGCGTTAGTTCTGGTTCCGTTTCCTTTTCATGCGTTTCATCTGTGGAACTCTGTCACGCGAGTTAAATCAGAAATGCTACGCGTCTCTACTGCTGCATTCTTCTCCAGCAGCAGATCAAATACATCATCACAGACCATTTGCTTTGGAACCGTTTTGCAGCAGCACTTTGTAGAATCTTCCTTAGTAAGGCCATGTTGCTCAGCGGGATAATAATGCGTGTTGCCGTCTTTGTATTCACCTCTGTCCTCAAAAGGGCCGTGTGGCTGCAGGTTTTTACTTCAACCAATCAGGAGCACAGCAGTCCCCAGCTCTCCAGGTTCAGACTGGACTCATGGATGAAATGGCTTGTGTGCTTCAGCTTGGTTGAAATAAAAACCTGCAGCCACATGGCCCTTTGAAGACGGAGGTGTAGTAGCCCTGGTCAGTGGGATGGCCTCTGAGTGCGCACTAGGGATAGGCTTAAGCTCGATAAAAAAATGGATACGAGTGGTCATCTGTGTTTGCCCATCCTGAAACTCCGTCATAAGTACTTTTCTGTAAGGTTCATTATATGTTAACAGACGATGGTACAGACCTCCAGAAGTGCAGCTCGAAGCCTTCACATTTGTCTTTACATTTGAGACACGAGGCTCCAGCTCCAAACTCGTGTCCCAGAGTCATCTGCAACACACAACACGAATGAGAAACACAACGTACAACACACACAACGCAATACAGTCAGAAGCCCCGTTTCTACTCTCTACTCTACTCTACTCTACTCTACTCTACTCTACTCTACTCTACTCTACTCTACTCTACTCTACTCTACTCTACTCTACTCTACTCTACTCTACTCTACTCTACTCTACTCTACTCTACTCTACTCTACTCTACTCTACTCGTTTTTCAATTCAGTCTTTCCATTACGCTTCAGTATCTGGTACTGTATCCTGGCAACCTACCCACAACCAACCAGTTACAGAGGACATTCCTTGGTTACCATGGCTTCCAGCTGCACTCTGTTAGAACACTTTAGTACCAGCTCGACCTGGAGAGGACCAGGGCCAAGAGGGACAAAAGAATGACCTGGTACCGGTTAAACAGGGCTAGTGGAAACGGTCCCAATCAAGGGAGAGTACAGAACAGTAGTACAGTAGGGCTAATGGACACTATGCTAGAGAGTGTCCCTGGTACAACAGACAGATAACAGTCTCCTAGGTTACAACAGGAGACATCAGCAGCACCGAGTCTTCTGCTGACACTGCTGCGTCTCATTGGTCAGTCTTCTGTTCCGTTTTCAAAGTCCTCAGAGTCCTCAGACCCTGACGTCCGCTCTGAGTAACACAGCGATGGAGTCAGGACCTGAGGCTCCACTTTGTAAACGCACACATTCTCAGCTGCTGCCGTCACTCTCTGCACTCACACACATCGACAAACGAGCGTCTTGTACAGTACTGTGGATGCATCATTATAACTTGCACCAAATCTTGGAGTTTGAGATCCCGCGTTTATCAAATCCTGATCTCGGTTCAGAGGAAAAACTGTTCTTAAGGGAAGGTGGAGATTTTCATACATTAGACTATTGTGGCCATTCTTTCTCTCCTAACAAGCTTAAAACAGCTGCAGTATAATCAAAGCTCCAGTCCTGACTAGAACCAGGAAGTACAAACTAAGTCACATTAGTCCAATTCTTGGGTCTATGCACTGGCCTCCTGTAGCTTAGAGAATTAAAACTCAAAACTCTCAGATCTCTCCATGTCCTTGCACAGAAGTATATCTTTAACTTTTTCGTGCCATATGAACCAACTTTTACTTCAAGGAGTACAGGGACTGCTGGTGCGCAGAGTTAGGACTAAATAATTCCTGAAAATGTGAGACAAGCTTTTTCTCTGACAATGTTCAACAACAGGTTAAAACAAAACTGAAGAATTGCATTGCATGTCGCCCAGGACATTAATGTCCTGGGCGTTTTATTTTTATGATGTTTTGTTATGCATTGTGTACTCTGCCAAAAAAAAACTTGCCTTCCCTTGGTCCATCTTGCGCTGACTCCTTGACTTGATAAGTATATACAATACTGGATTTCTTACATAAACCTATTCCCATAGATATCCATAAAGGCTATATACAGAAATAACCTCTAAAAAAAAATCCCAGTTGTTAACGGTGAATTAGCATAAGTGTTCCATATTATTATTATATAGCACAAATCACAGACCAGGTCCACACAAAGCACTTCATAATTTGGTGTGATTTTCGTTCACTCCAAACACGGTTCACTTTGATCAGAGAGGACTTCAGACCAGAAACTTAATCACAGACTGCTCAGGAGATCCACACAATTATCTCGTCATCTTCTTTTCAAACAGACTCTTGTAAATAAACAGGAAGGAAGAACACTCAACCAGCTGGATCTGAATCTATGGAGGTCAGGCACGGATCAGCCCAAAGCTCAATGTGGTCAAAACATCAGCCTCTCCCATAGACCCTGTATAAGGAGTGGACTGACCAAGTGTGACATCACCATTACACACACAATATCTCAATATAACACCAGGATCACAGAGAACGCTAAACCACAGTTTTCAAAGCACATAATGTTGAATGTGACACAAACTGTTACTCTGCTAGGAGTCTACTTGTAAGTCAATAGGGTGAGTTTGAGCAAAACTTCGTCCATGAGCACTTCCCTATTGGGCTACATTGAGCTTGCAAGTTAGCACTGTCCATTATAGATATAGTCTGAGGCTCACAGCTTCTATCACTACTTTTCACATGCATACATTTACACCCTCTGTCACATCAGTTTTTTCAGAAAGTCAAATAGTGAGTCACAGGGCTCTTTCTTAAACAAAAAGATAACATTGGTGGTCTGATTAGTTCACAATTTTTGTTATTTTTTTTATTAACAAAACCTAAGCTTTAATCTTAGACCCACAACAAAGCACAGTCTCTTGACACTAGGGTCAAACAGCCTATGGGTCAAACAGAGAAGTTTACAGTGCGCAAAGAAGCACCATTTATTACTTTTGTGGCTTTGTGCTGTAAGTTAGAAGCATTAGATCTACAGGACGCAGCAAAACAGCCACAAAAATGAGAGTTTAATACAAATTAACTTCATACACTGTCCAAAAAGACTGTGAAATTGTACTAAATAGAAGTTCTACACCTGCCCTGAGATCGTGTGCACCTCTACAGGGCGTTCCCTCTTTACGCACGGCTTTAAAAAGACGCACTCACTTTTTTCACTTCTTTCTCAATCTCCATGTTGTTTGTGGGGCGGGCGTCTGTACACACGGCCGGGGAAAGTGCTCTGGAGGCGGGACAGATGCAGACGAAGCCCCCGGGGTCTGGTGTCCGAGTACGGGAGAAGGGAACATCCGCACACCGCTGCACCGTGAGGGGGATGAGCGGAGAGAGAGCGCACGGAGGAGGCGGAGGTCCGGGATGGTCCTTCACAATAAAACAACTCATGGTTTTACCACTTTAGCCCCGTTTCCACCAGCCCTATTGGCCCTACTTTATTCTATTCTTTTCTACTCTGCAGTGGTGTGCAAATTACACCCAAAACGTAAATATGATGTTTTATTTACTACTGTTAAAGTAATGAAAATTGTAACGCTTTACTCCCAAGGCTGCTGCTCTACTCTTTCTATTCTATTCTACCTTTCTCTTCTCTTCTCTTCTCTTCTCTTCTCTTCTCTTCTCTTCTCTTCTCTTCTCTACTCTTCCCCAATTGTGAGTGTTTCCACCAGCCCTGTTCAACCAGTACCAGGTCCTTCTTTAGTCCCTCTTGGCCCTGGTTCTATCCAGGCCGAGTTGGTACTAAAGTGTTCTAACTGACAGTGATTGACCAGAGTGCTGCTGGAAGCCATGGCTACCAAGGAATATCCCCAGATACTGGTTTGTTGTGGGTAAGTTGCTCGTATACAGTACCAGACACTAAAGTGTAATGGAAACACAACCGGGTAGAGTAGAGTAGGCTGGTGGAAACAGGGTTTTAAAGATTTTAATTTTAAATGGTGATCAGACTTAGTAGAAGACAGACAAGTTGATAATTAAATTACAGTGTGGATGTAAAACCATAGCTTCACGTACGTCGCCCGAGCTCAAGGCCGGGCTGGTCACAGCCAACCCCTCTCACCCTGCTCATGGACTATTCCAACCACTCCCCTCTGGCAGGGGACTACGGTCCATCAGGATTAGCACCTCCCGCCACAAGAACAGTTTCTTACCCTCTGCTGTTGGACTCTTGGACACTTCATAACCTGTCCACCCGCCCTTAGAAGTCACCTTACGGCCCACATAATGTAATCTTACTGTCCCTTATTAAGTCACTTAAATGCTTGTCGCCTTATTGCACTGCCTACCACATATTGTGTGCACCATGTGCACTTGTATATAGTATATTGTACATAGTGGCAGTAATTGTAATCGTAATAATTCTATTTTAGATTTTATACCGTCGAAGTGTATGCTAATTTTATTATTCTTATTATGCCCTACTCTATTCTCTGTTCTTTACCTCTCTATTTTGACTGTTGCACCGAGCCAAAGCAATTTCCAAGTCTGTGACTTCCTGTTACTTACGTGGCGATAAAAATGATTCTGATTCTGATTGTGTACAGATGCTAACCCTCTTGCTCAATGAAGCCCAATAGGGAAGTGCTCCAAGTTTTGCTCCAACTCGCTCATTAGGATCAGAGTTAATGACACACATTGAAAAGTAAACTCATAGCTCGGTAATATTTTGTGTCACACCCACCATTTTCAGTGGTGATCACTCTTTGGGATCCTGGTATTTATATTGTGATATTTTCTTGATAAATCTAGATACAAGCCTTTAAAGTATTGACCAATCAGATGAAACTCCAGCTTGCCTTAGCAACCATGATAGCAACACATCTGCCCCTGTCTTAGTATACATTATTTTTTTTATCAAAAGAGGGTTAGAGGTTTTTATATATTGTATTTTTAATGCTTTGAGTTTCCTTGTGTATGAACTGTGCAACATAAACTTTCAGTGGCAAAAACAGTGACAGTCGACCACAAAGTACGAAATACCAGGTTGATTTGGGTTCGTGGTCTCTCTCCAGAAACCTATTTTATTGTGACGCGTGTTCTTCCTGCTCTCTGCACCTCTTCAATTTTCCTTTGAACCTGAAAGTCGCTCTCAGCCAACCACGTCACGGGACAGAAGCAGAGCAGCCCAATCAGCGCACAGAGCGGGCGGGGCTTACCGTAACAAAGGGTTTTAACCAGTTGACGTCATCCGACGTGTTTCTCATCAAACACACTGACCTGGAGGTGTTTTTAACTCAATCCACAATGATATCAGGAAAATACACACATCAGCCTGCCCCTTTCTATCTGAATGCTCTGCTCTCTACACTGTGATGAATCTGCAAGTTATGACATCATTAACACAAAGTATTTTCTACAAAAGTTAAGATCAGCAGAATAAAATGAAAAAAATAAGAGCTCTCAGGTTTTCCATGCATCAAACAGGATCTATTATTGAAGATAATGCATAATAGAATAATACAATAATAAGATAACAAAATCAAACTCTGGAGCACACTTGTTCAAAGTTTACTGTGGCGTGGCAGCAGTCATGATGTATTTACAGATAAGTATCTGTACTTCAGATGTACTTGGGGCAGCAGAGAATATGGGAAGACACATCAAGGGTGAATAAGTCTGTCACTGAAATTCTACTTCCATAGCTCTACTGTTTAACCAGTATCAGGTCCCTCTTTAGTCCCTCTTGGTCCTGGTTCTATCCAGGCTGTACTAAAGTGTTCTAACTGACAGTGATTGGTCAAAGTGCTGCTGGAATCCATGGTAACACCAAAAAATTTCACCGACTACTGGTTTGTTGTGGGTAGATTGCTACGATGGGATACCAGATATACTAAACACAACCAGGTTGAGTAGAGTAGAGGAGGGCAAAGAGTAGGGCCAAGTTAGGCTGGCAGAAATAGGGCTTGAAGCTGGGGTACCTGACTTTCAAATCACACAAAAATGATCTATACAATTCCTGCCACTTGTTCCTGGTTCAAAAAGAGTTTTCTTCTGTCACTAGTTCCCGCCTGCATTGATTTATGGCCTCTGTCATATAATTTGATCAGCCTTTTTGGACAGAAAGGTAACCAAGAGAGAACCACCCACACTCGGCCAATCAGCTCAGGAAAATAGTGACTTACAAGGCTTTGTCTTGCACAAAAGATAAGATGTTTTCTAATAAGATGAAGAAAGTATGTTATGGTCTCTCCATGTTTGGGACAGTTTGTAATAACAGATAAAATGTACACATCATATCAAACTATTGAATTAATTAAACTGATTAAAATACAATTTCAATAATATTTAGGATTTTAATTTGCAATCATATTATCCAATCAGAGAGCAGAATAAGGCCCACATTTGGGTTGCCAGTTTGCCAGGTAAAAATGATCTGGTTTTCAGCTCTTACCCTAATTGTACTGTTTCTAACTAAACAGCAGCATGTGTGATTGTAATGACTTCATGAGACCACTAAGAGCATATCACAGACTGCCCCTTTAAATTAGTCAAGCTAGCTCAGTGCTGCTAACTTTAAATAGGTTGAGGGAATTTCTCCATTCAAAATACTATACAAATATGTGACTAAAATTCAATATATCTGTGTGTAACTGTTATATGTAATAGTGCATTTTTGTGAGTATCATTTGACATAAAACATTTAACATTGTCAGTATTCTCGTGTGTAAAGGCCCAGATGAACTATACCCGCGTAATCTTCTCAAAAGATCCGACAGGAAACCACTTGTGTAACTTCCCCTTTGCTCCACGTTTAGAATCAGACTAAAGCTGCACTATATTTTACATCCATCAAAACAGAATCATACATGTGCTTTGGTATAATTATGCAGTTTTCAGACTCAAACACAGAACCCAACACTGGTAAGAGTCGGGGGACGAGGTGCAGGTCACTGGAGAGAAGGAGGTGAGTAGTAGAGGAGCAGAAGAGTGAAGCTTTGTATTTGAGCACATTCCAAAGACTATTATGGCGATGTTACAAAAAACAGGTCAAAAAAACAGACACAAAAGTAAGCATGTGAGGCCCCACCCCTCTGCCACAAGTTTTGGTCAAATTGGTCTTAACTCAGTTTAGTTTACTTGGGTAGAGCCTTAAAAACACAACAGCAGTCGTCTCTGTGGAATTTATGTCAATTCGTTGTTGTCAATTCACCAACAACACATCAGAGAAACAATTTGTACACAGGAAATGCAAAATAACAAACCCACTGGAGCCATTGGTCCAAAGGGAATGGGATGACAGCTGTCCAGAAATGTGAATAAATGTCATCATCACTGTCCTGAGATCCTCCTGCATTGGCAAGGAAGGACTCAAAAACAACCCTCCCTCTGATGTCTCTCTGGTCTCTCTCTCTGGTCTCTCCATAGTCTCTCTCGCTGGTCTCTCCATAGTCTCTCTCTCTGGTCTCTCCCTGGCCTCTGTGATCTCTCTCTGGTCTCTCTCTCTCTCTGGTCTCTCTCTCTGGTCTCTCCATAGTCTCTCTCGCTGGTCTCTCCATAGTCTCTCTCTCTGGCCTCTGCGATCTCTCTCTGGTCTCTCTCTCTCTGGTCTCTCTCTGGTCTCTCTCGCTGGTCTCTCCATAGTCTCTCTCTCTGGCCTCTGTGATCTCTCTCTGGTCTCTCTCTCTCTGGTCTCTCTCTGGTCTCTCTCGCTGGTCTCTCCATAGTCTCTCTCTCTGGTCTCTGTGATCTCTCTCTGGTCTCTCTCTCTCTGGTCTCTCATTCCCTGGTCTCTCTCTGGTCTCTCTCTCTCTCTCTCTCTGCCCTCTCTCTGGTCTATGATAAGTTTGTGTGAACTTCTGACGTGGACTCAGCTGTTTTCAACTTACAGGAACACTCTTATCTGCTTTTTATGTAACTCTGAACATGGGCAGAAATAGCCTTTTGAGTTAAACCATGTAAAATGACACATTTATACACATTATTTAGTTCTTTTAAACAGTTGTCATTAAAGCCCCATTTCCACCAACTCTCCTCTGACCTACACTCTACCTAATTGCGTTCCCATTACGCTTTAGTATCTGGTATCATACCCGAAAAAGCTACGTACAACCGACCATCATCTAAAGTCCTTTGTAACCATGGCTTCCAGGAGCACTCTGGCCAATCACCAGCTCGGCCTGGATAGAAGCAGTGCCAAGGGGGACTAAAGAAGGACCTGCTGCTGGTTAAACTTGACAAAATGTGGCAGAGTTAGTACTTTGGCAAGCCACTGTCTGTAGCTGTACTTGACTGGTATCTGCACTTCTGTTTCTGTGGGAATGAAGCAGCCGTCTCCGCCTGGTCACATGACTTCTCTGCAGGTATAAAGGTGTCACAGGCTCAGTCCCTGCACCCACCAACACCCACCAGCACCCACCATGAGGGCTGCTCTGATCCTGACCGCGCTGCTCTGTGCTGCTCTGGCCAAAGACACCTTCCACGGGTGAGACATCACAATGAGCTGTCTTTGTCTTATTAAGAAATATCTCCCTGTGGTCTCGCTGCTCTCTCTGATCTCTCTCTGGTCTCTCTGCAATATAAAAATTCCCCACTGTGGGACGAATCAACGTTCTCTTATTGATCTTATTTTAGAAAAAAAACAAATAAATCAATGAGTAAAATGAATGAATAAACGTAGCTGTTTTGTGACATATCTTACATAGTTCTCTTTTTTTCAACCACTTTGTATTTTAAATATCACATAGAGCATTAGGGTTAGGTCAAGTACATTTATTTATACTATTTAATACTATTAAATGTTCAGTTGATTTGTATTAAATGTGATATAAGTGCAGGCGTATACAAAGAGTTCATTTGCCAAAATATATCTCTGTTATAAAAATGTGTCAACTTCCTTTGGCTGCAATCCTGAAAATGTTATTGGTGTTGTTATTGGCAGAACCTTTGAAATCCTTTTCCTCTTGTATTTTTTATGGCACTAAAGACAGCAATCACTGTCAGTTAGAACATTTTAGAATGGTAGTAGAGCTGAGTAGAGTAAAGTAGAGAAGAGTAGAGTAGAGCTGGTGGAAACGGGGTTAGCATTGAAATATTTTGTTTACAATTTTAAATCAAAATAATAAATTGTGAGTATTGAATACTGTAATATAATATCTATTCTAATTTTTTTTAAAGATAAAAGGGTTTAATTAGTAAAATATATTTCCTTTATATTTGCCGCCGCTTGAAACGGTTTACACACTACACTTGTTTGCAGAGGATATTACTTTTTTATGGACACTTTGTGAAACAGGAAACAGGAAGTGTGTGTAATGAGCTGTTGCTAAGACGATGTACACAGCGGTTCACCCACTGACGGGTGGGTAGCAGCGCCAGGTCAGGGGCGCTATGGCTTTATTAAGCACACCATGTATTTCTGGCCTCGGTCTCAGCTCAGCTTCTTCAAAAAGACAGAACCATCCTCACTCAGCCATTCAGCTCTTAGCCCAAAGTGTCAAAAAGTGACTCACTGAGCTTTTTCAAGTATTCAAAGGATAACATGTTTTGTGGTTTGATTGTAGTAGTAGTAATAGTAGTAGTAATAGTAGTAGTAGTGATAGTAGTAGTAGTGGTGGCAACAGCAGCAGCAGTAACACTTGTTGCCTCTGCATGTTTGTAGCCATCAGGTTCTGAGGATCCAGGCCAAAGATGAGGTCCAGCTGTCTCTGATCAAAGACTTGGAGAACATGTTTGAAGACGAGGTATGGACTTCACAGAAACCAAATCCTCATGACGTCTTTGTCTTTATGAATTTGGTTCAAACGTGTCTTTTTGTGGTGCGATTGTACAACAGCTCGATTTCTGGAGAGACGTGAGCGATGTGTCCACCCCCGTCGACATCCGCATCCCCCCTCACACTCTGGACCAGGTCAAAGAGTACCTGGACTCATGGGACATCACCTTCGAGACCATGATTGAAGACCTCCAGGTACAAAACCGCTTGCCAAAGAAAAACATCTTTTGCTTAAACAGGTCCCTGAAGTGAAGGAGTTCTCAGCTCTTGTTCTCAGTCAGGGAAGCTGTATCAGACTGTTATAGTGGAGAGGGTGCAGCGTCTACAGTCAGAGCTCTCCCTTTACAGCTCAGTCTACGTCCTCTTCCTCAGCTCATGGTCCTGAGCTTTGTGGTAATGACCGGTCATGAGAGGCTGGGAGCTCCCTCAGAGAAAGGGTGAGGAGCTCAGTTACACAGGAGGAGCTCAAAACAGAGCTGCTGCTTCTCCAAGTTAAGAGGAGCCAGTTGAGGTGGCTCGGACATCTGTTTGGGATGCCTCCTGGATGCCTCTGTGTTGAGGTGTTCCGGGCATGTCCCACTGGAAGGAGACCAGGGAAAACCACCAGGACATGCTGGAGGGACTGTGTCTCTTCGTTGGTTTGGGAACGCCTCAGGAGTCCCCCAGATGAGCTGGAGAAGTGTGTGGATAGGGAATGAATGGATGAAATGTATGGATGAAAATTATGATAAACTTTGCAGAAAAGTTTGCCCGACAACGATCATACCTAGAAAAAACGTATAGCGCCATATTTCAAAGCCAGCAGTCATCTTGGAGGAATTCACAGTTGTTGATTCATTGACGAAAGATCAGAGAACAGTTTGAACACAGTATATGCAAGAATAACAAACACGTCATTGGTCCAGTTGGAACGGGATGACCACTGTCCAGAAATGTAAATAAATGTCCCAGATCATCACTGTTCTTAAACCCTCCTGCATCAGCACCACTATTTTCAGACCAAAACATTGAAAATTGATCTGTGCTTACAAGACTGTCTGGACTGGAAGACTTTTGGCTGCAAACAAAAAGCATTTCCTGCAATTCTGGTGTTCAAGCTGTTAGCGTCTTCACAAGGGAAAAGTGTTGCAAGACAACAACATATCTGCTCAAGAGAAAACAGAACTGTAAAAGTATGATTCTGTTTGTGTTTAGACCATTTTGGACGAGGAGCAGGAGGAGATGGAGTCCGCTGCACGTTTTGGTGAAGCCAGAGACACCGACAGTTTCGACTACGCCAGATACCACCCCATCGACGAGGTAACCATCCAGAAGTACGCTAAGAACTTCAAAATAAAGTTCTGACAAAGAATGAGAGAGGTTTTGGGGACGAGTTAAGGGCATCAAACAAGAAAACATCACACACGTAGACAAATACAAGACAGCACACTACTCACATCTACTCTACTCTTCTCTACACTACTCTCCACCAGGTTGCATTTCCATTACTAGATACCCACAACAAACCAATATCTGGGAAAGTTCCTTGGTAACCATGGCTTGCAGCAGCACTCTGGCCAATCTCTGTCAGTTAGAACCAGCTCGGCCTCGATAGACACATGGCCAAGAGGGACTAAAGGGGGACCAGTTAAACATGGCCAATGGAAACACTCCCAATCGAGGGAGAGCAGGGCTGGTGGAAACAGGGAATATGTTTGGGGCAGCAACATTTTTTATTGTTCACCCGTGGCACAAAATGTAATACTTCCTGTATATGGGGTTGTTTGTGTATTTGTTTTCTGATTTACAAGCATACATGTTCATGGTTCATGAATAAAACAGACAACGAGATTCCAAATGAATGCCTGGTGTCTGTCTCCTGCAGCTGTACAGTTTCCAAGACATGTTGGTGAAGGAAAACCCTACTCTGGTCAGCAAGATCGTGATCGGACAGAGCTACCAGGGACGGCCTCTCAACGTGCTCAAGGTGACGCACTGACACACGGCCTCCACACCGGGGCGCACACACATATTTTTTAGGTCATCGTCAAACAATAATCGACTGAACTGAATGTAAATTTGTACAGCCCTAAATCACAACAGCAAATCTCTAACTCTGGCATAAAAAGAAGCTTTATAAAATCTAACTATCTAAAGTCGAACTTTAGCATGACAAAGAAGTAAGACTCGAAGTTCTTAAGTCAGAAATGTTGTACACATTTCTGACTTTAGCATAAAAATAAGAAAATATACAATACGGTATAGTCTAGTGCAAGATATATAAAGTTGTTTATTCATCTGTACATGTTAGCAGCATAAGGTATGAGACAGTAACACATAGATAGATAGATAGATACTGTACTTTATTGATCCCCGTAGGAGAAATTCAGGTGTCCAGTAGCAGCAAATATAAAAATAAAATTGATTATTCTAAAAACATAACAATAGTAATAATAATCAGCAACAGCCCTTTAGGTCATTTCAGCATAGGTGGAGTAGCCTCTGGGTGGAGCAGGACAGGTCAAAAGGTGGAGTACATGTGCACATTCTGACATTAGTTCTGTTTATTGCACAGGTGCGCGACATGTGAGGAAACAAACACATAGGAGACACTGGTCCATAGGGAGCGGGATGATCACTGTCCAGAAATTTTAACAAATATCACTGTCCTCAGACCTTCCAAAGAAATGGTCAAACACTGTGAAAGAATTTAAGAAACCTCAGGGAGGCCCATATTGAAAGAGGGATCCACTCCCCTAGATGGACAGGCTGTAGATCCAGGACTGAGGCTGTAGATCCAGGACTGAGGCTGTAGATCCAGGACTGAGGCTGTAGATCCAGGACTGAGGCTATAGATCCAGGACTGAGGCTGTAGATCCAGGACTGAGGCTGTAGATCCAGGACTGAGGCTGTAGATCCAGGACTGAGGCTGTAGATCCAGGACTGAGGCTATAGATCCAGGACTGAGGCTGTAGATCCAGGACTGAGGCTGTAGATCCAGGACTGAGGCTGTAGATCCAGGACTGAGGCTGTAGATCCAGGACTGAGGCTATAGATCCAGGACTGAGGCTGTAGATCCAGGACTGAGGCTGTAGATACCACTTAGTACTTCTGAAAACCAGGCCTTTTAACTTTTAAAGGACACAATTTTAAGAAAGACCAAGTTTCATTTTCACTATGGTCACAATCCTTCCTAATATATGCTCTCTTCTTTTAGCCCTAGTTTTTTGTCATGTTACAAATGGGAAGATTTAACAGAATAATTAACTGTATATATCTGTGTTCAGTTCAGCACCGGTGGAAGCAACCGCCCGGCCGTCTGGATCGACACTGGCATCCACTCCAGGGAATGGGTCACTCAGGCCAGTGGCACCTGGTTCGCCAAGAAGGTACCGAATTCCAGTCATGCAAAAGTATTCAAATACACAAATTTACTTTGTGAGTCCATCAACTTAATTTGCTCATTTTTTAAGTCCAGTCATCATGGAAAGTCCCAAAGCTCAATTTTTTAGGTAGACCTCATAGTATAGGAGGAAGACAGGAGCGGGCCAGATTAACAGTGGGAGGAAAGGACCAGTATAAAACTAGGAGAGAGACAGAAGAGGACTGGCCTAAAACCAAGGAAAAGACAGGAGGGGACAGACATAACAACTTTTCATATCGATTATTTTCTCTTCTCAGATCGTGGAGGATTATGGAAAGGAGCCTGTTCTCACCGCCATCCTCAACAAGATGGACATTCTGCTGGAGATTGTCACCAACCCTGACGGATACGCCTACAGCCACTCCTCCGTAGGTGTCTCTAGTCCACTTCCACAACACGCTGAGTGAGGTCAAGTTAGCAACTTTATATCTAACAGAAATGTAAAGCAATGGAAAAACAGTGGCAATCAGAGGAGCCAGGCGGCAGCAATGGCATCCTGCATAGTCTATAAAAGTGTTCAAAAAACAACTACAGTACAATGAGATGTGGTTCACCTTTTGCAGCCTCTCTGTTTTTGCATGCAATTGTGCATACTTTTTTGCACAATAACAACATCATTTAACCTAGAGGTTTCTCCTGGATAACCACTGTCCTTAGACCCTTCTGCATCGACAAGGAACAACTCAAAATGCCCATTGGGAAAAATATGAGAACCTTGAGGAGGCCCATTTTGGGAGAGAGATCCACTTTTTTACGGACGAAAAGGCTGTAGATCCAGGACTAAGGTTATAGATCCAGGACTGAGGTTGTAGATCCAGGACTGAAGAGGCTTCCAGGTGGGGTACGGGGTGCAGCCCGCGAGTCAACTAGTGATTAGAATTAGAAATATTCTCAACATGTCTATTTCCTCTTTCCTTCCATGGCAGAACCGCATGTGGCGTAAGACCAGGAAGCCCAACCCCGGCTCCAGCTGCGTGGGCGTGGACCCCAACAGGAACTGGGACGCTGGCTTTGGAGGTGATCTGTCTGTTTCTGAGAATGCATTTAACTCATAGGGCTACAGCAATAATCATTACTCCACTATGTGTTTGGTGTTGGATTGGTCAGTTGTAAAGCGTAGAGGGCATTTTTAATCAAATTAGATGACAAGGATCCGTGAATAGGGCAATAGTTTTGAAGTATATTGTCCACCGTCCATTGAATACATCAGTCTGAGCACCCAGACATCCCTCCACAATAGCCTGTATACAGATGGACCATGCTAACCTGCTAGCTGAGTAAAGCCTAATAGGGAAGTGCTCATGGATGCGTCTTCCATGAGTTTGCGTCACAATCACTATTTTGGGCTTAAAAAGTCCCTGGTTAAGCGCTCTCTGTGATCCTGGTGTTTATATTGTGATATTGTAACTCCAGGTATGGGCCTTATAAGGATTGACCAATCAGAGGCCTTCATTATTGGGGAAAACTCCACTTTGCCTTAGCAACCAACTTAGCAACATGTCTGCCCATGTTACGGTGCAAGCTAACGCTGCGGACAAATGCCCATATAAGGTAATTGGCTCCAGCAAGCTTATGTTCAAATCAGCTTCTTCTGCATTAAGGCTAACACTTTGGTGATGTCACACTTAGTCAATCCACTCCCAATATATTGACCACACTCACTCATTAGTGGGAATCTCCGAGGCGTTCCCTAGCCGGCGGAGTGACAAAATGACCTTTCAGTAAATCCTGGGCCCTCCTCCTGAGTCTCCTCTTAGTGGGACATACACAAAACGCAATGTCAAGACAGCATCCTTGGTCAATCCCATAATCTTACGATATGGCTCTTCATGAGCAGTGGCTCTACTCCAAGCTCCTCCCATGGGACTGAGCTCCTCACCCTATCTCTAAGGGAGCGCCCAGCCACTCTGGGGAGTAAACTCATGTGGACTGTTTGTACCCGCGACCTTGTGATTTGTGTCATTACCCAAAGCTCATGACCAGAGGTGAGGGAGGAGACATAGACTGAGCGTAATCCAGAGCTCTACAGACCACAGACGCTGCTCCCTCTTCACAACAGTCACTGACCGTCAGTCTCACACTCCATCATCTGAAGTTCATTTTTGTTTAATCCTCTAAACTTGCTCCACCCCTCTTTGGTGTCAGTTCTAGTCCCTGTTCTGGTATCAACCCAGTCTAACCCTGGTCTTTCTGTGGTCCAGGTCCTGGGGCCAGTGGAAGCCCCTGCTCAGAGACATTCCGTGGTCCTAAAGCTCACTCCGAGTCTGAGGTCAAGTCCATTGTGGACTTTGTTCAGAAACACGGCAATATCAAAGAGTTCATCTCCATCCATGCATACTCCCAGATGCTCATGTACCCCTACGGCTACACACGTACTCCAGTGAAGGACCAGGCCGAGCTTGTGAGTACTTCTGCTAAAACTAATATTACTACTGCTGCTGCTGCTAATACTACAGCTACAGATACTACTGCAACTACTGCTGCTAATACTACTTCTACTACTACTACTACTAATGCTGCTACTGCTATTACTACGCGAGTGAAGGTCCAGGCCAAGCTTGCGAGTAGTACTGATGATAATACTATTAATACTGCTTTTACTACTTCTACTACTAACATGGCAAAGGACCAGGCAGAGCACACCCTTAGTAAGTGCTCTTTATTCCTACGGAGCACTCCACAGACCAGTCACCCAAAGCGCTTATCACTGTTTTACTACTTTTGATATTGCTTCTTCCCCCTGCTCCTCCTCCATAAACTTGTGTCTGTGATTTCCCAGCATGCCTTAGCTAAGAAGGCTGTCTCCGCTCTGACCTCCGTCTACGGGACCAGATACAAGTACGGAAGCATCATCAACGTCATCTGTGAGTCCTTCTGCAAAGACTTCCATTACATCCACTTCTGAAAAAGAACTGAGGTTGCAAATCCAGGACTAAGGCTGTAGATCCAGGACTGAGGTTGTAGATTCATGACTGAGGCTGTAGATCCAGGTTTGAGGCTGTAGATTCATGACTGAGGCTGTAGATCCAGGACTGAGGCTGTAGATCCAGGTCTGAGGCTGTAGATCCAGGTCTGAGGCTGTAGATCCAGGACTGAGGCTGTAGATCCAGGACTGAGGCTGTAGATCCAGGACTGAGGCTGTAGATCCAGGACTGAGGCTGTAGATTCATGACTGAGGCTGAACTTTGACTTTAAACTTTTCTCCTCACAGACCAGGCTAGCGGTGGCACCATCGACTGGACGTACAACCAGGGCATCAAATACTCGTACACGTTTGAGCTGAGAGACACTGGGCGCTACGGCTTCATCCTGCCGGCCAATCAGATCGTCCCGACCGCGAAGGAGACCTGGGCTGCCCTTCTGGAGCTCATGACGCACGCCAAGAACAACTCCTGAGCCTCAAGGGGCGAAAACAGAGAGTGAGAATAAAGAAAGTGAAGAACTGAGACGGAGCAGTGTGTGTGTTCGACTTTGATTTGCATGTGTTAGAATCTGTGATCTTATGTAATTTGGCTGAGCGACATTGTTCCGTTTGTAATAATACTGGTATCATTTTGTCGGTGTCATGTCTTCAAGTTAAAAGACATTGAACAAGTTAACCAGTTGTTTAAAATTACAAGACAGGTTTATTTACAATTCCTACACAAGGAAAATAAAACAAGATTGCAACAACTCAAGGCATCCATAGATCCATTTCTGGGTACAGGGCGGCAGTCAGAGCTCCACCCATCTCTCAGAGCACCAGCCTCCTCCTGTAGGTGGTGAGTTTAAAAGAGCCTTGATCATTCAGTGGGGGCTTCAGGCAAAGTGAGGTTAAGTGTCTTGCCAACGGACACAGTGACAGCAGACATCAGTGGGAGTCGGTGGAGAAGGTCTGGTGGGGTTGAACCCACGGCTTAAAGGCCAAATTTGAAACGCTGCCTCCCCATGTTTAGTCCTGACTCTGGGCACCAGTAGAAGGCCAGTCCCTGTGCTCCTAAGAGTCCTAGCAGGAGACCAGTCCCTGTGCTCATCAGAGTCCCAGCAGGAGACCAGTCCCTGTGCTCCGTAGAGTCCGAGTACTGTAGGTTCATATGGAACTAAGATGTTCAAGATGTATGAACAGTACAAGTTCTGGCGTACTAAAGTGGTATGCCTGAACTTGTAATGTAAACGTAGTAATGTGGTCGGAACAACTCAAACCACGCTAAATGTGTTTAACATAAACACAGAGAGAACACTTTAAAAGGAGGATAGTTCAGAATAATATGAAGTCATTACTTTGTCCAAAACGACAATCTTTAAAATACAATTAATTTATTTCACATTTTTGCAACAAGGCACGATTCTGTCAAAGCACAAACTGATTAGAAAACACAAAATCAATATTTTCCAAATACTGACGATGGAAACATGACATGAAACCAACTTCTGTAAAAACAGCAAAGAGACATTTACATCAGACGGTAAAGGGACGTTTCCAAGTTTAGCTTGGATTTGAGATGTATCTTAAAGGAGACATGACCTGATTCAGTTCTCTTTTTCTGGTCTGTGATCATCTATGACTTCTGTGGCTAATTAATAAATATACAGTTAAAACAATGTCAGAGAAGAAACAAGTTGAGTAGTTCCATAGTCCTCTTACAGTATGCCCCGCCCCTTTGAGGAAGTGTCAGTGAAATGCACACATTCCTTTACCGATTGATTATATTATCTGGAGGCTGTTGCGGCTTCCGTTGGTTCCCACACACCATGGTACTGCAGACTACACCTCAATGTTAACACAAACAGCTCTAAATGACAAGGAAAACAACTGTAACATGGCAGAAAGCAGATAAACGCCTATTTTCAGGTTTTGTCTCTGTGGCAAATTGGCTCTGACCTCATATTTTACAGTTTAAAATTAAAACAGGTCTATACTTAGAACCTTGAAATTTGACTTAATCATGCATGCTATTAAAGCTGGGACATGTAACTTTGTCCTTTTCACAAATTATCAACAAGTTTAGAAAAAAATGAGACCACAAACGAGCTATTTTATCATATTCGATTCAGTTATCTTTTGTGTCGAAAGAGCCCTGCGAGTCACAAATAGACTCTAGATATGTAATGTGAGGGAAGCCAAAAGGGCATGCATGTGAAAAATGTTTTGATTTTACATGACTATTCATTTGTTGGTGCTAGAGAGTTACCTACCCCAGCTTTAAGTCAACAATTATTTCTGAATACAACTTTTGCACTACTTTTTTTGTATTCTGTTGCTAAGAAGATCACCAGTTCCCATTGTAATAAATACATTTACTGGTAGAAATGTACCTTTTCAACTGGTTCTTGCTGGGTCAAAAAATGAATGCCACAAGCTATAAACACAACATCCTTTCTGTCAAACAAGAAGGCTTTTAAGGCCTTGGATTAGGCTCAAACCAATGCAATACAATACACTGATCTGGCAACAACAAACAAACAATTTCTTTCTACATATGCTTCAAATAATTTAATATGAAAAATGCTTCAGTCTCCAGTAGTCTCTAATCTCCCGATGGTTTTAATGAAAAATGTATGACAAAAAAATCCCCCTTCCTTTAGTCCAGGATCTAGAGCTCAAATTTTGTATCTTCGAATGTTATGATAAATTGAATTAAAAAAACAAAACATAACTCAGTCCAAAATGGTGAGTGTGACATAAAAGGTTACGGAGATAGTTTACTTTTCAATGGAAGTTTATAGGATCCAGAGCAAAACTTCATGAGCACTTGCCTATTGGGCTTCATTGAGCTAGCAGGTTAGCAATGTCCATCCAATACACTCCATGCTAAAACCGTGATTTTGACCCATTATATAAATGTTTTACAGCTTGAACTAATGTCTGTCTGCAGGCATTTTCCTCAATGCAAGCCATGTCACGACATCCATTGCTTCAAACTCATTTGGAGATGAGGAAGTGGTTTAACAAAAGTCAAAAAAGATCTCAACATTATCTACAGTATGAAGTAACGGGGTTCAGCTTAGTTCCAGATGTCAGCATACAAAAACAAGTCGAGGTCTGCGTCCTCATGTCCACCCAATTCCCTGACCTAGCCTGGTCTCTCTCTCTGGTCTGCCTCTCTCTCCTCACCTGTTACTAAAGACATAGCCTGCAGGTTGTTAATGTTTTCATTTCATTTTTTCTCAATATTGGAGGCTACAAACAGCTTATTTCCTTCAGTCAAGAACAGTTAAAACCGTGCTTCTGTCTGGTTGAGAACAAAGGTTTTATGGTTAAAAACCCATAAAAGTTGTCCATAAAGTTGATTAAAACCCAAATAATATCGCTCTCATTCTCCCAAAGTGGTGGGAGGTATAATTTAATGCCATGATGCAGGATCTGTGCTGAGGTCTTGTCCCGCGGGTCTTCAGAGAGCCCGGTCTTCACATTTAAAACAGTTTTATAGTCTTTTGTGTGTGGTGATTTCACTTCCAGGGCCGAGAGCCGGAGGAGGCGGAGCTCTGCCGGCTGCGGACACTCGAAATCGACGACACACGACTCGACATCCGACCTGCAACAAAACTTTATGTAACAATATATATACTTAATGTTTGTGTTCATGCGACATCAGCGCATGCCACATGCCTATAGTTTCACTTTGTGGTGGAGGGCACTCTCTCCCTCTCACTTCTCTCTGGTCTCTTTTTCTCAAGTGTCTCGCTCTCGTCTGTCTCTCTCCCTCTCGTCTGTCTCTGTCTCTCTCTCTCTCTGGTCCGTCTCTCTCTCATCTGTCTCTCTCTCATCTGTCTCTCTCTCATCTGTCTCTCTCTCATCTGTCTCTCTCTCATCTGTCTCTCTCTCATCTGTCTCTCTCTCATCTGTCTCTCTCTCATCTGTCTCTCTCTCATCTGTCTCTCTCTCATCTGTCTCTCTCTCATCTGTCTCTCTCTCATCTGTCTCTCTCTCATCTGTCTCTCTCTCATCTGTCTCTCTCTCATCTGTCTCTCTCTCATCTGTCTCTCTCTCATCTGTCTCTCTCTCATCTGTCTCTCTCTCATCTGTCTTTCTTGTCTCTCGTTGTGAATCTAAATCACTCAGAAGATCTGGGAAAACAATCCCATAGAGTTGTACTGGCACCTGCTGAGATACTGAAATACTGAACTAGATCTGTGATTTTTATTTGTTTGCGATTAAAGCCTGACTTTATTTTCGTATTAATTACGAAAATGCTATCCATGTCCATGTAGTGCATTGGGATATACGTCCTTTTGAAGAATAAGTAGCGCAGATTTGTGCTGGCGTGACATTATATTTTCGATTGAGTTTTGATGAAACAAGGAAGAGAATGTGTTTCGGGTCGCAGATTGTGACCAATCACAGCGCACCACTAGCCCCCACTTTCGTGAGAAATCCCCAGGTCCGTTAGCATAGACGGCTGAGTTAGCACAACAAGCCGAGGAGCTAACCTGAAACTTTCTCGTCTTCGTCACCGGGTACTGCTTACACAGCGAAACAGCCATCCAAAAGAAAGTCCCGTTCCTCCGCGCTTCCCGGTTCGATCGTTCTATGGTCACGCCATCCACGTGAAAATCCATATCCATGTATTATCCATATTGGGAGAGGCTAGCTCCGTCTCAACACTGTGTGTGTGTGGGGGGCGATAGCTTCGTGGGTGCGGGGAGGAGAGCAGAAAGAGCGAGGCCAGCGAGTCCGCGGCTTCAAAATCCCAAAGTCAGTTAGTGCAGCTTTAAATGTGCTGCCCACAAAGAACTGTAATTGTACCACTAGGGACATAACCTACAGTGGGACATTGTGCCTTTGAGCCCCACACTTACTGCTGTTGTTGCTGGGCACAAGAGCCTCCTCCAGCTGGTCTGAGACCCTGTTGAGTTCGTCTGCCGTGAACCTCCATCGCTGCTCTGCCTGGGAGTGACCAGCCAGGGGCGCTGTGCTCTTCTTCACTGAGGAGTTGCACAGAGGGGGGAGGGCCCCACAGACCAGGGAGCCGGGGAACTTCTGGGACAAGACCTTCAGACCTGAGACCAGAGCAGGATCAGAGCAAAGTAGAGAGTAAAAAGTTGTCATTCAAATACAGTCTCCTGAAGCTGGACGGAACCAGGTCTAGACCAGGTAGCCAGTCTCTAGCTGGTCTGGATCAGGACTGAACCAGGTCTGGACTGACCTCTTGACAGCATGAAGTTCTTGAAGCCTCTCTGACACTGAACCAGGTCTATAGCAGGACTAAAACAGAGACTAAAGGAGTACTAAAGTGGGTCTAAAGTAGGTCTAAAGGATGACTAAACAAGGACTAAATCAGGATTAAAGCAGAACTAAAGCAAGACTAAAGCAGGACTAAAGCAAGACTAAAGCAGGACTAACCTCCCGACAGCATAAAGAGGTTCTCGAAGCCTCTCTGACACATGATGGTCGCTGCTTGACTCGCGATGCGCTCGTCTTCGTCATAAACGATGATGATTTTACCGGGAGCATTTTTCTGCACAAGACAAGTTCAGGACCAAGAAGAGTAGTGTTGAGCTTCATCCGCACTAATTACAAGAACTTCTGACACAAACATTTAGATCCGCCCCCTCCGTCAGTCCCGTAACAGTATTATGACACTATGACATCACCTTCAGAGCAGTTTTCTGCTCATTTTGGGAAACGCAATTCTGCTCCTTCCTCTGGTGGCAGCATAGGGAATTACAGTAAGCCTTTTTTTACCCTTCATATTTGTGAAGGGTTTCCCATATATTATCTACTGAAGTTTGACATTCTAAAACATAAAGAGAGGTCTGAATGTCAGAGGTAGGACAGTGGAGGAAGCGAGAGTTTGCGTGCAGAATAAAGAACCATGGAGAGTGATTGTGAAGGCATGAACTGATTCCACCCTGGTGAGTGCACTGCCTACATGAAACTAACAGATAAGCCAGGGCCATGACCCTGTCGTGGTGGCACAGGGCGGAAGTACCGTTTGTCTGAGGGGTCTAGAGCTGTGAATGTGGATGAATGAGTGTTTGATCGGAACTTCTTCCTGTATTCGACCACCCTCCTAGGAGGAAATGGATAATGGATTTAGATAAATATATAGAAAACTTGATATGAACTTGAGGTTGCACCCCCGCAAAGCTCCTGGCCCGGACCACGTGTCTACGGCCATTGAGACACTGCGCCAGTGAGCTAACTCTAGTCTTCACTGACATTTTCAACTCCTCTCTGCAGTCCTGCCATGTCCCGGCCTGCTTCAAATCCTCCATCATTGTCCCCGTCCCGAAGAAGCCCAGGATCACAGGACTCAATGACTACAGACCTGTGGCACTGACGTCTGTCGTCATGAAGTCATTTGAACGCCTGGTTCTCTCCCATCTCAAGTCCTTCACCTCCCCCCTCCTGGACCCCCTGCAGTTCGCCTACAGAGCCAACAGATCTGTAGACGACGCCATTAACCTGGCCCTCCACCACATCCTACAGCACCTGGACTCCTCGGGGACCTACGCCAGGGTCCTGTTCGTGGACTTCAGCTCTGCCTTCAACACAATCCTGCCATCCCTGCTCCAGGACAAGCTCTCCCAGCTCAACGTGCCCGATTCCACCTGCAGGTGGATCACTGACTTCCTGACGGACAGGAAGCAGCGAGTGCGTCTGGGGAAGAATGTCTCGGACTTTCGGATTATAAATACAGGAGCCCCACAGGGCTGTGTTCTTTCTCCCCTGCTCTTCTCCCTGTACACCAACCACTGCACCTCCAGACACGACTCCGTGAAGCTGATCAAGTTTGCGGACGACACCACCCTCATTGGACTCATCTCCAACAACGATGAGTCCGCCTACAGGAGGGAGGTGGACCGGCTGGTGTCCTGGTGCAGTGGTAACAACCTGGAGCTGAACGCCCAGAAGACAGTGGAGATGATTGTGGACTTCAGGAAGAGCACTGTCCCCCCGCCCCCACCCTCCGTGATGGACTCCCCCATCACCTCTGTGGAGTCCTTCCGTTTCCTGGGCACCACCATCACCCAGGACCTCAAGTGGGAGCCGACCATCAGCTCCCTCATCAAGAAGGCCCAGCAGAGGATGTACTTCCTGCGGCAGCTCAGGAAAGCCAAGCTGCCTGCACAGATGTTGGTGCAGTTCTACACGGCCATCATCGAGTCCATCCTCACCTCCTCCATCACCGTGTGGTTCGCTGGAGCCACAGTCAGGGACAAACAGAGACTACAGCGCATTGTGCGCTCTGCAGAGGAAGTGATCGGCCGCAGCCTTCCATCGCTGCAGGACCTGTACGTCGCCCGAGCTCGAGGCCGGGCTGGTCGTATCTCAGCCGACCCCTCTCACCCCGCACATGGACTATTCCAACCACTCCCCTCAGGCAGGAGGCTGCGGTCCATCAGGACTAGAACCTCCCGCCACAAGAACAGTTTCTTCCCCTCTGCTGTTGGACTCTTGAACACTTCTTAACCTGTCCCCCCGCCCTTTATAAAGTCACTTTACTTCACTGTACTGCTGTCACCTTACATTGTGTGCACCATGTGCACTTGTATATTGTAAATAGTAACTGTAATTCTATTTTAAATTTAAATGTATTCCTTACAAGTGTTTTTTATTCTTTATTCTTCATTATCTCTTTCTGACTGTTGCACTGAGCCAAAGCAATTTCCAAGTCTGTGACTTCCTGTTACTTACGTGGCAATAAAAATGATTCTGATTCTGATATGAGAAAGCAGAAAGGACAAAAATAATTTAATGTATCAACAATATTAAAGGATACGTATTGCAGGACTTCTTTGGTGTAGGGGTTCATGGTCCGCGACAAACATATAATGGGAAAACTGTGAGCTGTGGAGAGTCAGGAAGGAAATATTACACACTGAGATTTTCATCTGGTTTACCAGTATTTACATAGATTCCACATTCAGAAACACGTTTGTGTTTAGGGCCAGGGTTTGGGCCAACACGAACACTGCTTCTCAAGGCCCCTCACCGCTGATAATGTGGCAGCAGTTGTAGCAGTCTCTGTCTCTCACGTCCAGCAGCAGGTAGGGGCAGTCAGCGTACGGTCCCGATGAGTCTGGACCCGGGTCTGGACTGGGTTCTGGCTCTGGCCTCTGTTCCAGACTCATCTCCCCAACTCCGTTGATCACACTGAGCATGCACACGCACATTTTTATCAAAACAAAGTACATTTTAGAGAACATATACAGTATAACAGTAGTAGCAGTAGTAGTAGCAACAGCAGTAGTTGAAGCAGTAGAAGTAACAGCAGAAGCAGTAGTAGAAATAGTATCAGAAGCAGTAGTAGCAGTAGCAGCAGTAATAGAGTAAAGTGGAGTAGAGTAGTACAGCAGTAAGACTGGTGGAAACGGGGCTATAGTTTTAGCTCAATATAAACAATTCATATGAACTATATTTACCAAAGAACCCCATTCTTTTCTCTATAATATGATCATCCATGTCCCCTGTCTGTCAGCCCTAAAGCTTGTAGAAGGCCTTGTATCTGGCGCCCGCACATGATAGCTGGTTGTGGCATAACAGTGGCGACAGTAGCTCAGTTGGTAGAGCATTGACCTTTGAGCCAGAGGGTTGTGGGTTTGAGCCCGACTCTCACCATCGACTCCCACTGTCTGCTGTCGTTGTGTCCTTGGCAAGACACTTAACCTCTGGGAACACCAGCCACAGTGGGGCGGCTGTAAAGCGCCAAACTGTCGTTGTGTCCTTAGGCAAGACACTTTACCCCCATTGCCTAGAATGAGTCTGGTGTGTGAATGGTTGGTGGTGGTTGGAGGGGCCCCCCACATACTGGTTGCCTCGCTTCTGTCAGTGTGCCCCAGGGCAGCTGTGGCTACAGTAGTAGTTTATCACCACCGTGTATGGAGTGAAAGAAGAATGACATGTGAAGCGTCTTTGAGTGTCCAAAAAAGTGCTATATAAAACCGATGCATTATTATTATTATTATTACCTGAGCAGAGTGCTGCGCTCCGTCAGCACATCTCCAGCCTCCTGTCGCTCTGTGGACGGAGAGTTCGAGGAGAGAGACTGAAGCTCCAGCTCTGACACCGACATATGCTCTGCAACACAACCATTAGGGTCATCAGTTTCATCAGTCCCTGATCTGGGCTGCCGTAGACCAGACCAGACTGCCCTAGACCAGACTGCCCTAGACCAGACTGTCCCAGACCAGACTGACCTAGACCAGACTGTCCCAGACCAGACTGCCCTAGACCAGACTGCCATAGACCATACCAGACTGCCCTAGACCATACCAGACTGCCCTAGACCATACCAGACTGCCCTAGACCATACCAGACTGCCCTAGACCATACCAGACTTCCCTGGACCAGACTGCCCTAGACCATACCAGACTTCCCTGGACCAGACTGCCCTAGACCAGACTGTCCCAGACCAGACTGCCCTAGACCACACTGCCCCAGACCAGACAGAACGTCCAGTACAGTAGATACAGTATAGTCTCACATGTACAGGTACCAAGAGAAAGCCCTCCACACAGAACCTGTTAAGCCCATTACATATGAAAGTTGGTTTCTAATTTTCTAATGTTCTCTTTTTTCTGGCACAGAGATGACTGATATCAAAATTAATAGTTTTACACAAATGAAGACCATAGAAAGTACAATACAGACCAAACGTTTGAACACGCTTTCTCATTCAATGAGTTCTGTTTCATCCCTCCTGACCTCCAGAGGGTGGTGCATAGCACTTAATGTTCCCTTCGCAAATGCGCCGGGAACATTCAGTGCTATTCATCCGGGATTCATAGAACCATGGTTTCAGAAGTAACCTTTGTTTCCTTTCTTTTCATGACTATTGACTGTAGATTCATACCCAGGCTGTGTAAGGGCTATTTGACCAATAAGGAGAGTGGTGGGTGCTGGGCCAAATGACCTGGCCTCCACAGTCACCGGACCTGAACCCAATCCAGATGGTTTTAGGGTGAGCTGGACCACAGAGTGAAGGCGAAAGGGCCAACAAGTGCTAAGCATCTGTGGGAACTCTTTCAAGACTGTTGATGACCATTTCAGGTCACTACCTCTTGAAGCTCATTAAGAAAATGCCAAGAGTGTGCGAAGCAGTAATCAGAGCAAAAGATGCTACTTTGAAGAACCTAGAATATAAGACATATTTTCAGTTGTTTTATACTTTTTTTATATGAGTTAATTCATAGTTTTGAATTTGAATTTTCATAATCATGACAGTAAAAAACTCTTTGAATGAGAAGGTGTGTCCAAAATTTTGGTCTGCACTGTATATTAGGAGTGGACTGGCCAAGTGTGACATCCTCAAGGGGCCAATTTGAACATAAGCTAGCTGGAGCCAATATCTTAATATGGGCATTACTTTTGCAGCATTAGCTTTGCGCTGGAGCAGGGGCATAAGTGTTGCTAAGACGGTTGCTAAGGCAAGCTGGAGCGAAGGCAACTGATTGGTGAATTCTGATATGGCTCATATCTGGATTTACAAAGACAATATCACAATATAAGCACCAGAATCCCGGCCTAAAATGATGAGTGCAACACAAACGGTTACTGAACTAGAGTACCGGTTAGTGTACTTTTCAATGTAAGTTAATTGGAGCCAGAGCGAGCCAAATTTTGTTCTAGAGCACTTCCCTATTGGGCTTCATTAAGCTTGGTTGTAAGCTTTGTCCATATTTATATTTTGTCTATTTAAAAAAAGGCTTTGACAAATACACAGTTTGTGAAGAAAATCTGCAAACAATATTGAAATTTACAGAAAGAAGGGAGTGACATCACAGAGGAAAGGCATTATAACACTCAGAGGATTGGTGGGGTGGGTGGTACCTTCAGGCGTGTTGGAGCCGTATTCACTCAGACTGGAGTCGAGTTCAGACACAGACGCCACCTGCAGAATCTGCACAAAACAGAGACATCTATACATCAGCTCATTTTCACCACAGACAGGAGACAGAAAACACATGGAATTACATTTTAAGCTGAAAATATATGGACGAAGACGTAAGTAACTCCAAGATGTTGCTCAGGGTCTCCAAAATGTCTTCCCCAGGTCTTCAAGATGTCTGGTCAGGGTCTCGGATGTCTGCTCTGGGTCTCCAAGATGTCTGCCCATTCAGATCAATGACCTGTCTCATTGACTCTTGATCTCACCGTGCCATACAATGTCCCATACATTAGCAGAAGTGACGCATGCTGGCCAGCTTTAGTTCTACCGGTCTTGTGCAGTGGTTCTACTATAGAGTAACACGTCAGCGTTCTGACCAATCAAAGCGGAGCTCGAGCCAAACATGACGGAGTTTGTTGTACTAAAGTTTGGATTAAAAGAAAACTGACGTATTTCAAAAGAATAAAAATTCAGCATTAAAAGGGACACCAACATTCCTGTTTCCACCAGCCCCACGTTGCACTACTCAACTCTACTAGGGAGTGTTTTTCCTGTTATAACCAGTACTTGTACTTCTTTAGTCCCTCTTGACCCTGGTTCCATACAGGCCGAGCTGGTAGTAAAGTGTTCAAGCAAACAGTGTTTGGCCAGAGTTTGCTGCCATATTTTGGGCTTAAAATCCATGGTTTAGCACCTTCTGTGCTTCGGAAGTAAATACAGGTATGAGCCATAAAAGGATTGACCAATCAGAGGCCTCCATTCATGGGGGAAACTCCAGCTTGCCTTAGCAGCCTTGTTAACTTGTTACAACGCCAACCCAAACCCATAAGCATTTTCCTAGTTTGTAACCTACAAGGCAATAAAAAATACTTTAAGTCTGAAAATTGCCTCCAGCTAGGTTATATTGAAATCAGACTTTTCCGCATTAAGGCTAACACTATGTATGTCACACTCAGTCAGTCCACTCCTGATGTACGGTCTATAGATGTGTCATATGTAAGAAGTTTGAAAACAGAGGATAAGGGCGGAGATACATGTTAGCCAAAGGAGTTCCTGATCTTTTTTTCCCCTATTATATTAAGAGAAACATGTTCTTACCATTTGTGCAAAAGTCGTCACTTTGAGCCGCTTGAAGATCTCATCATTTCTGTATCTGTAATCTGAGCATCAAAAACTGCACATTTTAACTCTGAATCAGGAACTTTTTCACATTTTACTATCAAATGTTCTAATAAATGCAATGGGAAGAATTCAATGTACTTAATATACGTTTTATCTAAAAAAATATATATAGACTTTATACACACACATGATTACATTTGTGTAGATAAACAGTGATTTTAATTTGGAATAAAAATGATGTCCACAAACAGTTGTTCTGGCCATATCTAGATAGATAGACAGACATTAGTCTAGTAGCAGCAAAAATAAAAAATAAAATTAGCTAACAATAAAAAGCTATCAAAAGTAATAATCAGCAGTCTCTGGGTGGAGCAGGACGGCTCACTGCAGCTCTGAAATTATGAATAAACACTCGCTGTCTGTGAAGACATTTACTGTCAAAACGTATTCTTTTTTTCAAGAAAACAGACAACAGAAACTCCTCATTTGACCTTGATCCATCCCCCAGTTCTCTATAGCGCGTTTTTCCCCTTAAACATCTGCGACAGTTTGGAGTCTTAGTTGTGGATGATGAGTCCTTAAAATATTCATAGACATTTTTATTTGAAACATTGAACACATTGAAAACTCCCATGACTTTCTAATTCTAAATTCTAATTTACAAAAGTATTTATAAAAGGGCTCACTTTTCTTCAAGTCCTCCACCTTCTCCAGATACTTGGACAGACTGCATCCTAACGCACACACAAGCACACACATTAGTCAGATGAGTTCTTGATCAAAGTGAGCCTTCACATTAAAAAAACGGCACCTGTGTCCAGCCTGGTTTTGACGTGTTGATACTTGGTGCTCTTTGGGACTCGTTTGTTCAAATACTAGAGGAGGAAAAAACACGACAGTCATCCTAAAATGCAAATCAGAATCCAAATTACATCATAATAAAAACCCAAAGTTCAAACCAAAAAATGACTGAAACTAACGTTGTAATAAAATCCATGTTTCTACTTTCTGGCTAAACATCAGTAGTTTCCACATCATGAATATTTGGCCTCTGTCACATCTGTAGAGCAGAAACGAAAGAGAACAGATGGAGAGACCAGAAGGAGAGACCAGAGGCAGAGATCAGAGGCAGAGATCAGAAGCAGAGATCAGAGGGAGAGACAACGAGGAGAGACCAGAGGGAGAGGCCAGAGGGAGAGACCAGAAGGAGAGACCAGAGAGAGAGGCCAGAGGGAGAGGCCAGAGGGAGAGACCAGAAGGAGAGACCAGAGAGAGAGGCCAGAGGGAGAGGCCAGAGGGAGAGACCAGAAGCAGAGACCAGAGGGAGAGACAACGAGGAGAGACCAGAGGGAGAGACCAGAAGAAGAGAGAAGATGGAGAGACCACAATGAGAGGCCAGAGGGAGAGGCCAGAGGGAGAGACCAGAAGGAGAGACCAGAGAGAGACCAGAGATAGACCAGAGATAGACCAGGGAGAGACCAGAGAGGTTATAGCCCTAGTTTTTAAATACATGTATTCTTGGCCTGTCACATCTTCAGATTTTTCAGACAGAAAAGCAAAAAGAACGCTAAGAGTTTATAAAATGTATAATATATAAAATGAAATACAGCGAGTTTATTAGTTATATGGTCATGGATATAGGCGCAGTGCTGTGTTGACATGGAAACCGGATCGTGGCTAACATGCTAAGCGGCTAGGCTAACAAGCTAACATAGCTTCTATAGCTTATAGCTCTCTATAACACAGATGTAAACACGCATAAAACCTTCGCATTTCCTTCACGTTTCGCTGACATTTCTCAGGTCTCACCTCCGCGTTTCCAATCCCCTGTTTCAGCGACATCTTTTCCACCCGTGACACCAACCTGCTGGTGTAAAGCAAGAACCTCTACGCTAATTGGTCCGTTTCTTCACTGGAGCCAATCAGAGTACGGGGTGCTGGAACGTGGCGCCTCAGATTCAACCCACAGTGTTTTCGTATCATATGCCTGCCGCGTTGCCTGGTAACGGGACACATTCAAGGCAAGAAAATCTCAGGAAACCTTGGTTGCTAGCTATTAAATGCATTACTATTCAAATATTCTAAGGACATAAAATGCAAAAACAAATTAATATATTTTTCACATAGGTTTGTATCAGAATTGTCTGTCATTCTATTTATTCGCTAAAAGTAATTACACTTAGCGTCGTAAGTATTTGTAACTGTCCTATTTTATACATGTTACGCTAAGCCAACTCGAATTTCCCCGTTCAAAAAGCCAAACACGGGCTTTGAGACGCTTTTAGATCAAAACATGAACTTTCTATCAGCTAAAATGCTATTCTTTCATTGGTTACGACAATATCTGATGGGTAAATAACATTCAGCAGGGAGTAAACTATTGGATTATCTTGTATTCGGGGCTTGATAGCTTCGGTCTGGGTCGCAGTGGTCTGACAGAAATGGGGAAAGTTTAGCTTCTTCCGACGTGATGGCCTCTGTTTTGGTGAGTTAACATCATACACATTTGAATTGCATTGAGTTGTATACTGTGATGATTGATGATGTAGTAGATTGGTACGAACTGCTGAGTCTGCAGATTGTATTAAGTAGATTTTCTACCACGAGCTGTCAAACTGCTGAGAGTGACTGTTAAATGCAAGTCCACGTCATATAGCTTCATATATTTTACTTGTACTTTAAAAGCTACTTCAAATGTCGCCCAGTTTTCACCAGTTGTGAAAATGTTGTAAGATTTGGAACACTGCAGCTCGAGTCCTGACTAGAACCAGGAAGTAGGATTACATTAGTCCAGTTCTAAGGTCTCTGCACCATAGATTTATTTGCTCTACACTGTCTTCCTGTGGCTCAGAGAATTGACTTTGAAGCAACTCTGAGTGTCTACAAGACTTTCCATGGCTTCTCACCAAAGTACATCTGTAACTTGTACTGTTGGTGCCATATGAACCAACTGGAGCACAGGGACTGACCTCCTGCTGGTGCCCAGAGTCAGGACTAAACATGGGGAGGCAGCATTTCAGATTTACAGTGGAACAAGAAAGTATTATGCCAGCCACCATAAGTGCACTACAGGGTTTCCTCCAAAGTGGGTGATCTTTGGAGGAAACCCTATAGTGCAACCCTCAAAGTCTCTCAAACTACTTTTTTAATTGCCCTTTTTTCAGACATACATACAAATTCCACATCACAAAGAGTTGGAGACTGGAGATTGTCAGCATAACAATTGCATACGTTTACAACTTTTATTCTTAGCCACTACCGGATCCAATACTGAGTGTTGATAATTATTTTCTTACAAACTCTGGCTTGAAGATGAAAACATTGCAAAAACTTTACAGCCCCGAAGTTTCAAATTCAATGGAGATGAAGGCTACAACCAAGTTTACATTATACCTAAATGGTTTGATTACTTTTACTTGTGTAATTGTTTCTAACTTGTTTTGTTAAATGCTTTTAGTTGCCTTGTGTATGAACTGTGCTATACCAATAAACTTGCCTTGCCTATATAAGCTGAACTGTTAAGAATTGAATTGACTTCATCGTTTCCCATATGATGTTCAATCGCTGAAACAGGCCACTTTTTGCAATTGTCCAGCGCTTCAAATAGAAATAGTAATTGTGTTGTTTTGTTTAAAGAAGTGTCTAGAATGTGCTTGTGCTTGTGTGTGAAGGAGGACCCTGCCCTGGAGCGCCACTTCAGAGGCCACAGAGGCGCAGTGACGTGTTTAAGCTTCAACCCAAACGGGAAACAGCTCGGTAAAACCATCTGCTTTTTCTCACTGTCACTCCTTCGTACCTGTAGATTACAATTACGACTCTGCTGTTCTTACACACATAAGAATTAGATCTGTCTGGTCTCTCTCTGGTCTCTCTCTGGTCTCTCCTTGTTCTCTCTTTGGTCTCTCTTTGGTCTCTCCTGGGTCTCTCCTTGGTCTCTCTTTGGTCTCTCTTTGGTCTCTCTTTGGTTTCTCTCGCTTTCTCTTTTGCTCTCGGTCTCTCTCTCTCTGTGTCTCTCTCGGTCTCTGTCTCTCTCTCGCTCTCTCTCTGTCTCGCTGTCTCTCTCTTGGCCTCTCTCTCGCTGTCTCTCTCTCACTCTCTCTGTGTCTCTCGCTGTCTCTCTCTCTTGGTCTCTCTCTGTCTCTCTCTCGGTCTCTCTTGGTCTCTCTCTCTCTCGCTTTCTCTCTGTCTCTCGCTGTCTCTCTCTGTCTATCTCTCGGCCTCTCTCGGCCTCTCCCGGCCTCTCTCGGCCTCTCTCGGTCTCTCTCTCGGTCTCTCTCTCAGTCTCCCTCTCGGTCTCTCTCGCTCACAGTCTCTCTCTCTCGCTCTCTCTCTGTCTCTCTCTCAGCCTCTATGTCTCTCTCGGTTTCTGTCTTTCTCACTCTCTGTCTTTCTCGCTCTCTCTCTTGGTCTGTCTCTCTCTTGGTTTCTCTGTCTCTGTCTCTCTCGCTCTCTCTCTCGCTCTCTGTCGCTCTCTCTCTCTCTTTCTCTCGGACCCTCTCTATTCTAACCCAGACAGAATCCAACACATTTTAGGATAAAGTTAGTTTGATTCGTTTCTTTGTTTTGAGCTGTCTCCTCACTCCTCCGCAGCCTCCGGGTCGGCGGACAAAAGTCTCATGGTCTGGAACTTGGCTCCTAAGTCCAGAGCGCTCAGGTTCACAGGACACAGCGACGTCATCACAGACCTGCAGTTCTGTCCAGACGGGGGTTTGGTGGCCTCCTGCTCTGCGGACAGAACAGTCCGGCTGTGGACGCCCTGCATGTGAGCGACACAAGACAGACCAGAGGACCTTTTATTTGTCCCTCCTTTGGGAAGTTTCAGTGTTGCATCACAAGTTACAGAACAGTGAGAATGACAAGCATACAGCACAAGTTAAGTGAATATTAAGTATAGCACAATTCTATACTAAAAATAACATAAAATAGAATAGAATCTCCATCTTTAACTTATTTCAGTTCATCCCCTTTATTACCGTTGTCCATTTCTGTCCATAAATACACTTGGTGTATAAAATAGTATTAAGTATGTGAGCCATTAGCTCTGAGGGTTTAAATGTTCACAGTGATGAGATTCTGTACATGTTAGCAGCATATGATACTATTCTACATGTTAGCAGCATGTGATACTACTGTACATGTTAGCTGCATGTGATTCTACTGTACATGTTAGCAGCATGTGATTCTACTGTACATGTTAGCAGCATGTGATACTACTCTACATGTTAGCAGCATGTGATACTACTCTACATGTTAGCAGCATGTGATACTACTGTACATGTTAGCAGCATGTGATACTACTCTACATGTTAGCAGCATGTGATACTACTGTACATGTTAGCTGCATGTGATTCTACTGTACATGTTAGCAGCATGTGATACTACTGTACATGTTAGCAGCATGTGATACTACTGTACATGTTAGCAGCATGTGATACTACTGTACATGTTAGCACCATGTGATACTGCTGTACATGTTAGCAGCATGTGATACTGCTGTACATGTTAGCAGCATGTGATACTGCTGTACATGTTAGCTGCATGTGATTCTACTGTACATGTTAGCAGCATATGATACTACTCTACATGTTAGCAGCATGTGATACTACTGTACATGTTAGCTGCATGTGATTCTACTGTACATGTTAGCAGCATATGATACTACTCTACATGTTAGCAGCATGTGATACTACTGTACATGTTAGCAGCATGTGATACTGCTGTACATGTTAGCAGCATGTGATACTGCTGTACATGTTAGCAGCATGTGATACTACTGTACATGTTAGCAGCATGTGATACTACTGTACATGTTAGCAGCATGTGATACTGCTGTACATGTTAGCAGCATGTGATACTACTGTACATGTTAGCAGCATGTGATACTACTGTACATGTTAGCACCATGTGATACTGCTGTACATGTTAGCAGCATGTGATACTACTGTACATGTTAGCAGCATGTGATACTACTGTACATGTTAGCTGCATGTGATACTACTGTACATGTTAGCAGCATGTGATACTACTGTACATGTTAGCAGCATGTGATACTACTCTACATGTTAGCTGCATGTGATTCTACTGTAAATGTTAGCAGCATGTGATACTACTGTACATGTTAGCAGCATGTGATACTACTGTACATGTTAGCAGCATATGATACTACTGTACATGTTAGCAGCATGTGATACTACTGTACATGTTAGCAGCATGTGATACTACTGTACATGTTAGGAGCATGTGATACTACTGTACATGTTAGCAGCATATGATACTACTGTACATGTTAGCAGCATGTGATACTACTGTACATGTTAGCAGCATGTGATACTACTCTACATGTTAGCAGCATGTGATACTACTGTACATGTTAGCAGCATGTGACACTACTGTACATGTTAGCAGCATGTGATACTACTCTACATGTTAGCTGCATGTGATTCTACTGTACATGTTAGCAGCATGTGATACTACTGTACATGTTAGCAGCATGTGATACTACTGTACATGTTAGCAGCATGTGATACTACTCTACATGTTAGCTGCATGTGATTCTACTGTACATGTTAGCAGCATGTGATACTACTGTACATGTTAGCAGCATGTGATACTACTGTACATGTTAGCAGCATGTGATTCTACTGTACATGTTAGCAGCATGTGATACTACTGTACATGTTAGCAGCATATGATACTACTGTACATGTTAGCAGCATGTGATACTACTGTACATGTTAGCAGCATGTGATACTACTCTACATGTTAGCTGCATGTGATTCTACTGTACATGTTAGCAGCATGTGATTCTACTGTACATGTTAGCAGCATGTGATACTACTGTACATGTTAGCAGCATGTGATACTACTGTACATGTTAGCAGCATGTGATACTACTGTACATGTTAGGAGCATGTGATACTACTGTACATGTTAGCAGCATATGATACTACTGTACATGTTAGCAGCATGTGATACTACTGTACATGTTAGCAGCATGTGATGCTACTGTACATGTTAGCTGCATGTGATACTACTGCACATGTTAGCAGCATGTGATTCTACTGTACATGTTAGCTGCATGTGATTCTACTGTACATGTTAGCTGCATGTGATACTACTGTACATGTTAGCAGCATGTGATACTACTGTACATGTTAGCAGCATGTGATACTACTGTACATGTTAGCAGCATGTGATTCTACTGTACATGTTAGCTGCATGTGATTCTACTGTACATGTTAGCTGCATGTGATACTACTGTACATGTTAGCAGCATGTGATACTACTGTACATGTTAGCACCATGTGATACTACTGTATATTCTAGCAGGATGTCCTGATGACATGTCGGTGCTGTGCTCAGGAAGGGCGAGTCCACGGTGTTCCGCGCGCACTATTCTGCCGTGCGCAGTGTGTCCTTCTCCCATGATGCTTTGCGGCTCGTGACTTCATCGGACGACAGAAGTGTGAAAGTTTGGAGCGTTCCCCGGCGCCACCTGCTGTACTCGCTCAGCCAGCGCGACCACCGTGTCCACTGCGCACGGTAACCACCAGAGTTTACTTTAGTCTTTTAATTACCTTTTAACACTAGGACTCCCAGAGCAGTCACTTTGATTGCTTTTAGTTTAGACAATTAGTTACTCAGTGTATGAACATTTTTGATCTTCATAACTTGACTTGTAACTTGTAAATTCTTCTATATGTATTTTATTTCTATGCCTTTATTATGGCAAAATAATGAGTGTATAAACTGCTCTGACAACAGCCCGTCTCTACCACAATGAAAAGACACGTATTAGTCACATCGATATATAAGCCTCAGGGATCAAAGTAGAATAAAACTAGACAAAGGTAGCGGCTTAAATTACGGTAATGGTGTTGATCTTGTTTTATACCTTATTCTGTTATTCTGGTAGCTTTTCTCCTGACGGGCGGCTGGTGGCCTCATGTGGCGGCGATCGCACTGTGAGAATCTGGGACACCAGCTCCAGACTCTGCATCAACGTCTTCAGCTGCAACAGGTGAGTCTGGTCCGCAGGGACAGAGAGAGAGAAAGAGAGACCAGATCTAGACACCTTCATGAGGAAATAGTGAGACTATAGTTGTGCTTACAAAGATGTGAAACTATGCGACAGTTTTTGTTTCACATGGATTGTTCCAGGAATTAGAGAAATCATCTCTAATCTTTGACCTGGTAACCATAGTTAACAGGATAGACGTTTCAGTTGCCGTCCACCACAATGTGAAGCTAGAAGCTCTTTGGAATGCGCTTATGTCAAATGAACACAACCTAATCAACTTTTTAATGAGTCTAATACAAGTCATGTGAGAGACGTGCTGTAAATTGGTTAAGATCAATGTACCTGGTTTAAGCCTGTACTAAGAGGTGTCTACTCTCCGGCTGCAGCCCTCTCTCCTCTGTGGACTTTGACTCCTCTGGGACATGCCTGGCCTCGTCTGGCTCCGACAGCTCGGTGCGGATCTGGGACCTGAGGACCAACAAACTCCTCCAGCATCACCACGGTAACGGCCAGTCCTCGGAACGTGGCTAAAAACACATTATGTAACATATTAATGCAGACGTCTGGCTTCTGAGTGAGAGTTGGGGAACTCTTAACAACTGTGTGCGTTCCATAGCTTCAGAACGCAATATAATTTCTACTTTGGTACCTAATTTTAAAGCCACAACAATGGAGCTCCTAGATCCTGGCTCTAAAACAGTTCTGCTCTATCAATAGAGGTTTCTAGCCTCTGTCACATCCTTAGATCTATCTCTGATCTCTTTCTCTGGTCCCTCTTTTTGGTCTCTTTTTCTGGTCTCTCTCTCTCTCTTCTCTCTCTTTGGTCCTGGTTGCCCTGCGCTGTCACATCTTTAGGTCAACTTTTTCAGACAGAAAAGTGTAAAAGAGAGAACCACCCTCAGTCAGCCAAACAGCTTTCAGCCCAAAGTGTCAAACAAGGACTCATGGGGCTCTTTCTTACACAAAAAATAACTAACAGCATGTTGCGGTCTTTTACCAAACTCTTCTGTTGGGACAAAAATATGTTATTGATTAAAACTATTTTGATACCTCATCTTTAAATGATGATTAAGTCTAAAATCTACAGTTTTCTCTCTGCTCTTGCCACAGTGCACTCTGCTGAGGTCCACAGCGTTGCGTTTCATCCATCAAACCACTTCCTGATCAGTGCGTCTGCCGACAACACGGTGAAGATCCTGGACCTGCTGGAGGGCCGTCTCATCTACACCCTGCATGGACACCAGGTGGCACCACATCTCACTCCACATCTCACTAAACCGACTGGGCAACAACATAGACCAGGGGTGCTCACACTTTTTCAGCATGCGAGCTACTTATAAAAGGATCAAGTCAAAATGATCTACCTACTACAAAAATGCAAATCATATATTTCAAAAAATATTCTTTACATCTACAATGTATGTTTATGTACATGAAAAACAGCATGAGCCAATATAGCACAACACAACACAATTACCTATGTACATTTTTTGTCATTACCCGAGTTTACTCTGATGACTTGCACTGAATTGAATCGGCCAGGGATGCATAGTCCGGAAAATTGGTGGCAACTCGCTGACAAGTTTGTCGTGGTTTAGCTTTCCTGCACTGAGCGCGGTTGTTTGCGCATGTGCAGTCACCTAAGTGTCAGTAAAACATTACTGAGTAAAACACACATGTCATTTGACTGTGGTGCCATGTCCATGTGCCATGCCTGTTTTTTTTAAATCCAAATATGTCCCCTCCTCCGTTTATAAAATAATTTGCATCCACACATCTGCGTTATCAATCACATTCGTAACATTCCAAACATGTGCGTCTCTTACGTCCTGTCCTGCGTTGGGGAAAAACACAGAAGTGGGCGGAGCTTTGATGCAGACGCCGGTAACGGCACTTTTACAGTCATAGAAGACACTCAGAGTAAAGAGTAAGACGTATGTTTACAAGCACTGACCCCGTCCTCAGCCCTGGTTTAGTCCTGGTTTAGTCCTGGTTTAGTCCTGGTTTGGTTGTTTTCGAGCGTGAGTCCCTGCGATCACTTTGCTGCTCTCTGATGTGGAGGATGTTCGCTGCTGCGAGTATCTCACAGCGGACAATTTTTAAGGTAGTATGATCCATGCTTCAGTGATCAGAGGAATTTAGGAGGGTACTGTGGCGTGCGAGAACGCAAAACTCTGGTTATCTCTGTCTACACACAAATGCATTAACGGAGTTTTCAAAAATCTCCACTTTGCCCAGAGTTTTTTGTATATATTCGTTTAGAATGTGTAATATTTTATTTATTTAATGCGATCTACCAATACTACCTTTGCGATCGACTGGTAGATCGCGATCGACGTATTGAGCACCCCTGACATAGACTATATAGAAATGGACAACACTATCCAGCTCTCTCTGGTCCTTATGTCTTGTCTCTTCCTCTGGTCTCTCTTTCTCTCTGGTCTCTCTCTCTGGTCATCTGTTATTTGATCCATATATACAATAATTTCCTCTTGTTTTATAGGGAGCAGTTTTCTCGGTGGCTTTTTCCAGGAACGGGGCGATGTTTGCTTCAGGAGGAGCCGATGCCCAGGTCTGCAAGATGGTCTGAGGTCTTTCTTTCTCATGTCTCTCTGGTCTCTCTTCACTCCATCTTTATTTCTGGTCTCTTCTCTCTGGTCTCCCTCCCTGGTCCCGCTCCCTGGTCCCGCTCCCTGGTCCCTTTCTCTGGTTCCTCTCGCTGGTCCCTGTCTCTGGTCCCTCTCTGGTCTCTCTTTGCTCTGTCTCTCTTTCACTGGACTCTTCTCTCTGGTCTCCCTTTCTCTGGTCCCTCTCTCTGGTCCCTCTCTCTGGTCCCTCTCTCTGGTCCCTCTCTCTGGTCCCTCTCTCTGGTCCCTCTCTCTGGTCCCTGTCTCTGGTCCCTCTCTGGTCTGTCTCTCTTTCAGTGGTCTCTTCTCTCTGGTCTCTCTGGTCTGTCTCTGGTCCTGGGTGCCCTGTGCTGTGACTAACCGCCTCCTCTCTTCCGGCCGTGAGGACAGGTGCTGACCTGGAGGACAAACTTTGACCGTGTAAGTTACCGCGACATGCTGCGTGAACACAAAGAGCGCTCCAGTCCTGAGCCGGCGCCGCACCTGAGCGACATCCCGCCTCGCAGCCCGCACCAGCACACGCCGCAGTCTTATAACATACAGGTAACTGAACCACAATATAACAACATACAACAAGAGACACACCCACAGTCTTAAGTTTCATATGGCACTGGTAAATACTGGAGGCCTCACCTAGGCTAATTGCATTTTGCTTGTGTCTCTCTCTTTTCTCTCCCTGGTTTCTTTTTCTGGTCTCTATGGTTTCTCTCTCTAGTCTCTTGCTGGTCTCTCTCTGTTATTTCTCTCTGGTGGGTCTCTCTCTAGTCTGTCTCTGGTCTCACTCTCTCTGGTCTCTAAAGGTCTTCCACTGGTCTCTATGGTGTCTCTCTCTCTGGTGTCTCTCTCTCTGGTCTCTCTCTGGTCTCTCTCTGGTCTCTCTCTGGTCTCTCTCTGGTCTTGCTTTCTCTCTAAATATGTATCCATTTTGTGTCCAGATATGGGAGAGTGTGGCCGACACGCAGACTCCAGAGCCTCACGTGGTGGAGATGGGACAAAATCTCTGCTCAAAGGTAACGGATGTGTGGTTCTGTGTGTGTCCAGCAGGTGGCAGTGTGCACCAGGAGTCAGGAAAGAGAAGGGGAAGAGAGGGAGAGGAGTAGACAGGCTGCAGTTACACCATCATTCATAAGAAAAAGCAAGTGTCCTCTGCTTACACCGAGGCAAAAATTTAAATAATTTACTTTGGACCTATTTCAATGAAAAAAAGCTAGAGGGGTTGTCGTGTGGGCCTTTGCAAAATTGTAAATTCACCAACAACAGATCAGAGATTTAAACATTTCGAAGAAAGGAGATGTATTAGCGCCAACCACAGAGGAGCCATTGGTCCAGAAATGTTAATAAATGTGACTATTCTCGGATAGCAACTACCTAGAAACCCAAAATCCAATCAGAAGCGGTGCTGGTCTGTATTTAGCTGAATTGGGGACAGAAAGCACCTGATTGGTCAGTTGTTATGGCTTATATCTGGATTTACAAAGACAATATCACAATATAAACACGGGGTTCACAGGGGAGAGTTTGAACCACCAATTTTTCAGCCCAAAATGATGAGTGTGACACAAACAGTTATTGAGCTCAAGGAGTTTTACTTTCCAAGTAAGTGAATGGAGCCAAAGTTCAGAGTAGGATTACTGTCTATCACTACGTGCAGTCTATGGTTGTGACCCATTTCACGGCTCCAGTCTGAAAGAGCTCAGTGTTGGAGTGACCTCTGTCTGCTGCTCACGTCACAAGTTTTTTCACAGAGGCTGAAAGCTGTAGATGAAATTCTGAAGACATGACGCAGCATTTTAAACTTTCTTCTCATTTTTAAAGCACCTTTTCTCATCTCGAGTCTGTTTGAAAGACCCTACTGTATATCATTACAGACCAAAAGTTTGGACACACTTTCTTATTCAATGAGGTTCCTTTCTTTTCTTGACTTTTGCCTGTAGATTCACATCCATGCTAAGGGCTATTTGACCAATAAGGAGAGTGGTGGGTGCTGGGCCAGATGACCCGGCCTCCACAGTCACCGGACCTGAACCCAATCCAGATGGTTTTGGACCTGAACCCAATCTAGATGGTTTTGGGGCTGGACCACAGAGTCAAGGCAAAAGGGCCAACAAGTGCTAAGCATCTGTGGGAGCTCAGACCATTTCAGGTCACTACCTATTGAAGCTCATCAAGAGAATGCCAAGAGTGTGTGAAGCAGTAATCAGAGCAAAAGGTGCTACTTTGAAGAAGCTAGAATATTATTTTCAGTTGTTTCATACTTTTTTTTTAGTATGTACATAATTCCACATAAGTGAATTCATAGTTTTGATGCCTTCAGTGTGAATCTACAATTTTCATAATCATGAGATAAAACACTCTTTGAATTATTCAGATTCATTTATTTTCCATTTGCAGTAAAACCACATTGGAAAAACTGTGCAAGACTACCCTAGGTGAGTGTGAGAAGGTGTGTACAAACTTTTGGTCTGTGCTGTACATATATATGTATAATTAATATACATATAATTATGTATATTATACTGTTGAGCTTTTTGATAAACATTGTGATTAATTTTGTCATTTACAAGAGAAGTTTTGTTTAGCTCTCATTCTCAAAGAAAAGGACAATGCCTTCTGGGCTGAAAAAAACAGATCCCAGTACTACACATTTCACTTTCGCCACCTGCAAGTGATGGCCAGATCCCGTTAGATCTCTGAAGCTAAGCAGGACAGGGCCTGGTTAGGACTGTGATGGGAGACACCACTTCTACTAGGTGCTACAGTGGTGCGGTTGTAAACTGCTGTTGTGTTCTCAAACAAAACACTTCACCCACATGGCCTGGTGGGTGAAGTGTGTGTGGGTGAATGATTGGTGGTAGTTGGAGGCTGATGGCACAGTCTGGTTGCCTCTCTTCTGTCAGCAGCTTTGGCTATAGTAGTAGTTTATCACCACTGTGCAAGAAGGGAGTGAATAATGCTGTGAAGCGCCTTTGTGTGTCCAAAATAGCGTTGAATAGAACTTTTCCATTTTTGTTGTTAAAAAGCAGCAGCAGTGGCAGTTCCAAAATATTCCTAGTTCTAGGCTCTTTACTTCTGTCACTAGTTTTTACTGTATTTTTGGTCTCTGCCACATCTTTAGATAAGCTTTTTCAGACTGAAAAATCAAAGAACACAATATCAACCCTCACTCAGCTTTCAGCTCAAAGGGTCAAAAAGTGGTTTGATTTTATTTGTTTTTTTACTTTTGCATGACTGTTTCTGTTGGGAAAACTACATGCATTGTTCAACAAAACTATGGTAAAGTACCCCAGCTTTAACCTCATGATTTACCGATACTCCTGTTGAGTGGTGGGGAAGCCTCCTGGAAATGTTTCCGGTTTGCTCCAGTGGAGTTTGACCTAAAAACAGCTTCAGTGCTAACAGTGAGTCAGGACGTCCCTCTCCGGTCGCCCACACAGAGCCCCAAGAAAAAAAGAAGGGCTCCTCCCCTGTCCTCATCTGCCCACATGGAGATACAAGGGAGGAGGGGAGGGGAGGGGAGGGGAGGGGAGGGGGGAGGGAAGAGGGGAGGGAAGAGGAGAGGGAGAGAGGAGCAGAGAGGCGGCAGTAACACCATCATTCATAAGAAAAAGCATGTGTCCCCTGCTCACACTGAGATTTAGATACATTCTTTTGGCCATAATTCAAAGATTATGAAAGATAACAGATTCATTCAGATTTTATTTGCCATTTCCGCTCCCACATCAATAAAACCACCCAAACCTGCTTCTATCACCTCCGCACAATCTCAAAGATTAAAAACATCCTCACTCCTCCCGATCTCCATAAAGTTGTCAACGCCCTCATCTTCTCCCGCCTCGACTACTGCAACTCCCTCCTCTCCGGTCTCGACGCTAAATCCCTCTCCTTCTCACTGGTTTTAACAGAAGGGAGCACATCACCCCTGGGTTAGCGTCCCTCCACTGGCTCCCTGTGCGTTTTAGAATTGATTTTAAGATTTTACTGATTACTTTTAAAGCTCGTTTAGGTCTGGCACCCAGCTATATTTCTGAACTTTTAACCCCCTACGAGCCCCCCCGCAGCCTTAGATCCTCGGGCAGGTCCCTGTTGACTGTTCCAAGGTCGAGGCTCCGGACGAAAGGTGACCGAGCCTTCTCTGTCCGGGCTCCTCGGCTTTGGAACGACCTGCCCGAGGAGATAAGGCTAGCACCATCAGTATCCTCTTTTAAATCTCTTCTTAAAACCCACTTTTATCAAACAGCTTTTAACTGTTAGTTTTAAACTTCCGATGCTGTATTTTATTGTCTGCTTTGTCTTTGTTGAGTCTCTTTTGTGTTTTGCTCTGTTTGCTTTGTGTTTCTGTATCTAATTATTTTGACCTTGCATTATGACTGTTTTATTGTTTATCATGCTGACTGTGCAGCGCTTTGTAAACACTGTTTTTAAAAGTGCTATATAAATAAAGATTATTATTATTATTATTATATTTGCAGTAAAAAAAAACACATTGGAATACATTAGCAAAAAGTCTCCAGTGTGCACAGACAAATACAGACATAAAACAACATTAAAAGACAAAAATAAAACAAATAAAACAGTAAACAAATGTCACTGTGAAATCGATCGACTAAAACAGTTTCAAAACAAGTGCAAATCATTAAAGTGCTCTGTTCACACTGATAACAGCTTGTGGATAAAAACTGTTAGCGTAACGAGATGTCCTGCATCTCAGAGAGCGATATCTTCTGCCAGAGGGAAGAAGCTGGAACATGGCTTTCCAAGGGTGGCCAGAAGAGTCATTGACAATCCTAAGAGCTTTGTTTAAAAGTTTGGATTTATTAAGAACCTCCAGAACAGGAAGCTCACAGCCCACGGTCCTCTTTGCAGAGCGGAGCACCTTGTTTAAAGCTCTCTTTTCTTTATCTGTGATGTTTCCAAACCACACAGACACAGAACCAACAAGTAAACTCTCAATGGTGCAGCGATAAAAGTTAAGCAGAATCTTAGAGTTAGTGGTAAATTCTCTAAGTTTACGCAGAAAGTAGAGACGCTGACGAGCTTTCTTAACGACTCGGTCAGTGTTTTTAACCCATTTCAGGTCGTTAGACAGAGTTAAACCCAGAAACTTGCACTCCTCTACGATCTGCACCTGGGAGTTGTCGATTACGACAGGCAAATGAGAACTATTGCGACTGAAGTCGTAGACCAGTTCACATGTTTTCGATGCGTTCAACTGGAGGTTGTTAGTTTTACTCCACTGAACCACATTTTGTATCTCTGCTCTATAAGAGGATTCATCATTGTCACTGATGAGACCGATGATGGTGGTGTCATCAGCATATTTGATGATCAAGTTTGAGTCACTTATTGTCAGTGGTTGTGTGATGCCAGTTCTTATTAAATGTTTCTATTTTCAAATTCTAATGACAGCAGAAACTCCTCTTCTGACCCTGAACTTCTCTCTATCCCCCATCTATAACAGCATTGCAGTCTTTTGTGGTACTGGATGAGGTTCTTTATCCCATGCTCTCTTTCTCTGCTCTCTTTCCCTGCCCCCCTTTCCCTGCTCTTTTTCCCTGGTCTCTTCCTCTGGTCTCTCGCTCTGGTCTGCAGCTGGAATCCATGGTTATCAACTATTTCCATGAATACTGGTTTCTTGTGGGGATGTTGCTAGAATAAGGTGCCTGATTCTGAAGCATAATGGAAACACAACCAGGTAGAGTAGAGTAGAATAGAGTAGAGGGCAGAGCTAGGTGGTGGGACCGGGGCTTACATTATGTCTCTCAGCTGGCCTGGGAACGCCTGGAGGAAGTGTGTGGAGAGGGACATCTGGGCGTCTCTGCTCAGACTGCTCCCACAACCTTGCAATGTATAAAGCAGAAGAAAAAGATGCATGGATGGATGGACGGAGGTCTTTGATGACATTTAGAATCAAAATGTTTCCGATACAGCTCCCTCCCCCATCCCTAAGACCTAACATTGAGATTCATAGTCGCAATGTTTCCTTTCTCAGTCTTTGAGGCATGAATGAGTC